TAAAGTAACTCCAGAGTTACTGTGCTTTTTGGTTGGAAACACGGTATTATACTCTAAAATGATATATAGTAATTTACTGTGCACAAACACTGTAAATAACTGTGGATTTCACAGCCATTTTTTACAGTGTATAGGAAAAAAGAAAGATATAGTTCTGAACTAAATGTATATTATCTATTTTTCACTTTTTTGTTTCCTTCAGGTATTTGACAAAAGACACTATAAATAAATCCACCTGTCTGCATATAAGGCTTTTTGTTTGTGTAATTTCTGCATGCTGGTTTGTTCAGGTGTGTGTCAAATAGCTGCTGTATCCTTGATTTTTTGTGTGTGTGTTTCTGTGTGTGTTTCAGCCTTCAGGGTCCACCTGGTCATAAGCCTTGCTGCTGGGGAGGGATTTATCAAACCACGGAGGAATTTCTTTGGCAGGTGTAAAGGTCAGTGAAGTCCGCAGCATCGCCTTACAGCAAGAGAAATTAGAGACAGGCAGGGAGACAGACAAGCAGACAGTTACGCAATGAGGCTGACAGAGGAAGACGATAGAAAGCGGAAGGAAATGGTCAGCAAATCAGACGAGCAAAGCAGACGCATAGGGATGAGGATGAATATTGAATCTGACGGGGTCAGACAGATATTTAGACAGGGACATAAGACGGTGCAGAATTACAGGTGTTCCTAAGAGGCGGGTGGACAGGGATGTGTAATCTGATGAGCATGCAAGCTGAAGGAAGGAAGACGGCAGCAGGGCAAGGAAGTTAGATAAGAAATCAGAAGTGGACTGAGGGACAGAGCAGCCAGGAGGAACAACAAATGAAGTAGGAATAGTGCTGGGGAAACTTTTGAATATGCTTTTAGGTAACATTTCTGGCCCACTCCTATTATCTATATTTAAAAACATCCATTCTTGAGTCACAAAGCCAACGTTTGGCAATAAATTGTACCAGATACTTGAGCCAAAATCACACTGCATATATCAAATGACAAAACATTATTGTTGGAAAATGTCTACTACTTTGTGATATTATTGCGTGAATTACAAGCATACTCTCGTTGGATGCATATTTTGGGTTTTTAAAAATACATCTCTACAGTACATGTCTCTTTTACAATGGAGCAAATTTGAGAAAGACTGAAATATATAAAGCGTTTGTGTTCAGATCTGATCTTGGATCATATTTGTTAACGGTCTGATCTGCAAACATACATTTACATGACGCATTTTACTGATCAGTTGAACCGGTTAAGTCCTGATTCCTGAGTCCTAAATGAAGTTATGTCCAATAACAAGTTTTGTGAGGTCACACAACCTTGACAACCAAATAAAAAAGTGCAAGTTACATTTGTGCCATTTTCATTCCAAAATAAATGATCTAAAAAACATGAAATTAGACAGAATGGAGGTCACAGTGACCTTTAACTGCCAAATTCTATTTACCTCGAGTCAAGAAAGACATTTTTGCCAAACATTTTTAATTCCTTTCAAGCGTTTCTGAGAAATGAAATGGGACCGAAGTAGCTTAAGCACAGACAGATGAACCAAAATCATTATGCCTCTGTCAACTGCATAGAAATGAAATGTTTCTTGCCAGAGTAAATGTTCAATTGCTAAATAGCTTATAACCTCCACAGTTCCTGTTTTAAAAAATCGAATTCATCGGTTGTATTAGCTATAAGTACATTTTCGAAAAATAGGGTATGATTTGATCTCTTTTTATTAAATCTGTGACTTCAAACAAATTAGGGTTTTTTTCTTCTCTTACTCTTTGTCGCCTTTTGCTATTTGTCATGGTTTTTTGAGCCAGCCATGACCAATCTCACAGGGGACTGCTAAAATAAAACAGATTTCCCCAAAAATGTAGGCTGCCCTTAAGCAAAAACAAAAATTACAAGTTTCCTCCATGACAGTTCATACAGTACCAAGAATGTCCAATGGGGACAGAGCTGGGATAGGACTGTGAAATACATTAAAAAACTTCCTACAATGAGCTCAATTCATATTTAATCTTCAACATTTTTTTGATTAAACTGTCTTTTCATAAAGTGCCAGAATTAGAATTACCACTCTGACTCTGAAGTCTTTTTGACAGTCCCATGCAGCAAACTGTAGGGCTTTCTGATATCCTATTCCTCCACACAGTGCAAAATGTAATAGCACAAAAATGGAATTGCTTTTTTGGTGCAACGACTACACCTATGATGGCTCTTTTGAAAGAAATCCACTCTTAAATATCACCTTGAATCTCCTGCTCAGTGCTATTATCCCCTTTTTTCCCACTCTGTGTTTTTTTTATCTTCAATAAAATACATTTTCTCTTGTATTTGTAACACCCTCTATTCTTTACAGAGGATGCAGCCTGTTGTATTGCCTCTTCATTTACTTGCTCTCCTCTTCCCCTAAACTCCACATCTGCTCCTTTCCCTTCATCACCTCTACCTCTCTCTCCTCCTTCTCCCATGGTCAACACCTCCTCCTCTTCCTCTTGTTCTTCCTTCCCTGTCAAAATCTCTCCTCTCTGTCTCTCTCCCTCTTTCCTCAGTCCCATCCTCTGAGGTCATGCTGTATCAGATCGATCAGCAGGTCATTGATCTTCCAATATCCTGGTGTACTGTAGGCGTTCCTCTCATTTCAGGACAGACCATTAGCCAATCATTAATCTAGATAATTAACCTATCATTAATCTGGGTCGCTATTTAAACTGAGGCTGCTGATTGGGTCAATGGTGAACTCTGACCTGTAGGTTACCACAGCAACATGAGGCACATCGGTTAAACCTGCAGCAGCTGTTAATGCTTTAATTGGGTGTCTTTCGGTATGATTACTGTAAATACAAAAATCAGATTAAGAGCATCTGGCTGTCTGTATGTTTAAGTCTCCAGCCAATTAAGATAAAACCAAACAGGATATATCTATAATAAAAATCTCAGGTATCCTCCGATATAACATTTAATAAAGAGGTGCCACCATTTTTCAGTGCCACTCTGTTGATACCAAAATGTAAAATAATACATATTCAGCCTTTGCGATTCCTCTGGCCCTGTGACAACCGAGCAGCAACAGCTCAGAAAACAAAAACTGCACTTTATCAAATGGCTGCTTGAGACTGGCTCCACAAGAGAGCAATCTCCCAATATCCCCATGTTGAAATGACTAATTCACAGAAGGAATACACTTGTGTACAGCCTGGTACAACATGGTGTCGGTCTCTATTGCTAATTTCCCTAAAATGAAAACTATACGTTGGCTGGATTTTTACATATCTCAACTGTTTTAATTATATTAAGGGACAGATTTGGCTTTGAATACTGGTTCATGCTTTGTGATATGTCAGGAATAACTGTAATAATGACAGGACACAATGTTGGTATTAAGGAAAGGACTGTTGTGACCAGTGTGAGTGCAATTTTTGGGATTATTAGCAATGCTCTTGCATAGCAACAAGAGAAGCAGTGATCAATGTTCCCATTTTTTTTTTGTTACATGTTTGGCTTATGCTTGGAAGATGAGCTTAATGCTGCCTTTAAATCCTGTCACCTATGCAGTGGTGATTCATACTACACTACTGTGACATGTGTTAATAATACAGTGGGCTGAGAGGACATTTTTGGCATATGCAGGATGATATGAACATCTTCACAGCTTATTGGCTGATTATTAGAGTGTATCATCATGCGTTCATTAAACCCACTATACTGTATGTTCACCTGGGAACAGCACAGGTGTTCGACAAATTGGTGAAAAGTTTGCGATATATTATATTACTGAACATTTTGTAAGACTTTTATGCCTTTTTAAGACTTTAACATAAGTGTTGATTCATCTCTTTGGTAGCACTATCTCACATTAGTTTACATTGTGAGGTATTCAAGTGTCACCCACGCATAATGCCATTAGCAAACACCTTGCACATATGCACCCACGACAGGTTGAAAAATATGACGATAAATCTGAATTGTCACCTTTTTGACACGTTCACAAATGCTGTTATTTATTGCAGGGTTGTTGTTGTTGTTAAGATAAATGTATTATGGCATGTCAAGTTTGAGACCTTCAGTAACAGTAAATTCTGCCAGATTTACACTATGCCTGCCATACAGTGGAGACAACAGAGGATTTGTTGTTCAGTTGACCTAATGAATCAGATCTGCATTCAGCCCCCCTCCACTATATACAATGACTTTCATTTGTCTTTTTACTTATCTATCCATCTATCTAATTTGTTTTGTCTTGTGTTATGCAACTTGTTCATTCATAACCTCTCCCCCTGACTCTGTTGGAGGGGATGTCGATAGGGTGGGGGTAAAGTGAGGACGGGGTTAAATCTCATTGGAACGTGCGCAGAACACCGCGCTCTCGTGCCGGAGGTCTCGCCGGCACAAGTGTCTGTACAGAGGTTGACTCGAGCCAAGCAGCGCGTGCGTTCTTGAAAGCTTGTACCCGGGTGTTTAACAAGGGGGAAAACTAAACATTTGTTTTACTGTTGAGTACCGGGATGGAGTAGTGCTGTCACGGCTCGTGCTCTCTGGATGATAACGGGATAATTTTCCTTCGAAGCCATCAGATGTTTCCAGTGGTGGATTTCACTGTTTTGGAATGTGTTTGATGCGCATTGACCTTTTTTTCTCGACATTTCCTCCTCTGGGCTTGCCTCCACACTCTGTTTCACATTTTCCCTGGAACATGTGGAATATTTTACCATTTTATTCCACGACCTGTTCAGTCACGAAAAGGCTTGAATGATGGAAATCTTTTGAGATGAAAAACAGCACTTTTGGGGATCGTGTTTTGCTTGTGCGCGGCTCGTGCCTGATCTCGCGCCTCAGTAGCCTGTTGTCCGTGTCCGTGGAGAAACGCGCAACTTTGCCGAGAGCTGGAGCTGGATTTGGGGCTGCAGCTGGTCTGAGCGGCGCGCCAGGGCCACACGCAGGGGACACACGGAGCGGCCCCGGTGTTCCGCCGTTGTGTGCTTGGACGGGGCATCCGGTGCAGCTGTGGAGCGCGGATGATGAAGACGGTGGTGATGATGATGATGAGGATGATGAATGGCCCGGCAGCTCGAACAGGCACTGGGGTCCCGCCGTCATTATGTTTACTGCTGTGCGCTCTAGTCTTTCTCCCATCGTGCGTTCACTCGCACCCGCAGCCGTGCCAGGTGCTGAAACGGATCGGACACACGGTTCGGATCGGGGCTCTGCACGTGCAGCCCCGCTTGCTCTCCACCACAACCACCGGTAGCTCTAAAGACTGGGACGCGGATAGAGGCTGGATTGGAAGTGAGGAGTTGGAAAAGCAGGTAAAAACAAGTTCTGGTGCACCTGGATACGGAAGCCTCAGGACTAGAGGCACCGTTAATGCCCAGAGGGGGGCCAGCAGGAGTAAGAGCCAGGCAAGGCAGCGTGAGGAGAACACCTCGAGGGAGAACCGCGTGTTCGCACCCCGAGACTCGGTCCTGCTCGCGGTGGAGGCTCTCAACCGGGCCGGATTGCTGCCATACAATTTATCCATGGAGGTCGTCATGGCCGTTGGGTCCGGTTTGGGGGAGCTTCCCGCGTTCTCCTCCTCCTCTGCGGGCAGCCCCGAGGGCGACGACCCGCTGTCTTTCTTGGAGAGCGTTTGTCACACCGTCATCGTGCAGGGGGTTTCCGCCATGGTCTCCTTTCCACGGAACCGGGACGAGTTCGTCAAGTTGGAATTCATCTCGCTCGCGCTCCAGGTGCCAGTAGTCAGCGTTGTTCAGAAGGAGTTTACGCGCCAAAGTGAGGTAAAAGAAAAAAAAGTTACTCAATTACATCTGCACTGCACTGTTGAATACTGAACTTTGACATACAGGTGCAGTGGATGTAGAAAGTGTTATATGAAGGAAAACGACTGTGACAAGTCAGTCATGTCCAATAATCTATGAATATACAACTGTTTTATACATAAATAAATAGGTTCTTCACAGTTTTTGACATCATTAATATTTGTTTTGGTGGATTTACAAGGCATAGGTGCCACCATCCTGCCTATTAGACAGAGTCTGAAAGGGAAACTCTTACTCACACTGTTTCATCTTTTTATTTTCTCCTCCTACTGTGAACTAGTCATTCTTTCAGATGAAGGGCACATTTTCCTTTCTTTGCCTTGCTTGTTCAGTACTCCATTCTTGGTAAATGGCCCAATTAAGCTATATTGGCGACACAATTTGGGACACAAGCTGATTTTCCTTTTCACATATGACATCAGCTTGTGGAGTCTGAGAAAGGCTGCAGGAAAAAACCTTCAAAGTGGAACACAATTAGGAGGCATTTAGGCTGTGTCCATGGTGCAGACAAGGAGGAGAAGAGTGCATTGTGTATTCTGTTATAGACAAGGTTTGCAGTGAAAAAACACGATTGATATACTGTAGATATGCTATGTACAACACCAGGCAGGACATGCATGCCCTGAGGTTCTTTTGTCCAATCTAAAGCTTTGTTGCTATCCAGCCTTCCATGGGCAGAGGTTCAACAACATGGCAGAGAGAGAGAGAGAGAGAGAGAGAGAGAGAGAGAGAGAGAGAGAAAAAAAGAGTATAATGTAAGAAAAGCAGTTAGAACATTTTAAATTGCAACTCTAACCTCAAGCTGACCTGACATCTCCAGTATTGATCTGACTTCTTTCCTTTCAACAAGAAACTTTTAATTGCCCGTTCTCAATCCATAGCTTATATCATAATCATACTTTGTTAACCTGCTAGCGATGAGCTGCACAATCAATGTAAGGTCAAAAATCAGATTGGATACTGGCCTACTGTTATGTCTGTATAGGAAAAAAATATGTTTAGAACCACCCCTTAAAGGTGGGGTAGGTAAGTTTGAGAAACCGGCTCGAGATACACTTTTTGTTATATTCCATGGAATGCTCTTAACATCCCGATAGCAATAAATATCTTAAGTGCTTTGACAAAAAATCCATAACAACATTTCATTTGTGGAAGCCGTAGTACTGTAAAAAGCACGACCAATCATTTTAGCCGGCCCGGCTAAAATAACTGGATGGCCTACCTGCCTGTCAGCCTTCCATCTGTGCACAAACTTATCTCGTGCCCTCATTGGTCATGTGCGCGTTCGTGTGTGTTGGAGGAGGGGCTCTGTAAGGAAGTGGCAGATTTTTTCCGGCTGTGTATATTCAAATTCTAGCGCACTCGAGCTGGTTTCTCCAAAATTACCTACCCCACCTTTAAGAAATAGAAAATTGGATAATAACACTCTTGGTATTTGGTGTATTCCAATGAATGCACACTGATAAGTGCACAGGGAGTAAACTATACAGACAATTCAAAGGTGTCTCACTGGTTTTAAAATAAGGTGAACATTGTTCCTCCATAGTGTACTCCACTAGCTTTTCTACACTACAGTACAGTACAGTGTATGTATAGCCCTTTAACTCAGAACTCTTTTTTTTAAACAAATGGCCAATAGATTGTACTATTATTGTTTCAATCAAAAGCAATACTTTTTTTTAAGTATACATTATTGCCACTTTCTATTTAACCCTAACCCTAACTCTCTACTATAGCTTAGTCTGTTGTGAAAGCTCTCGTCTGCACCTTCGAACCCTGACCCAAACCCCTTGGAAATAGTTTAAAAGCCATGAATCGTTGGAAATATGTTGGCCATAAGATCCATTAAGGCAGCCTCAAACAAAAAGTTGTTGTCATTGCCTTCCAGAAGTATCCATGTTCCAAAAGTAAATGGACTATGCAACTCCTACTGATAGCTGGGCAAAACATATCTATCATATTGATATTGTGGTATGATATTTCTAAGCACTTTAGATTTCTGATCTCTTTGTATGGCTTTAATAAGGTGGCACTAACATGGCAGTAATCGTATATTAAAGAGTAGAGGTGAGTGCATGTGTCCGTGTTGTTGACTTCCACGCACAACCTTCCGTGCAGGGGTGAAGAGCATCATTGTTTATGCAATTGAAACACACACACACACACACACACACACACACACACACACACACACACACACACACACACACACACACACACACACACACACACAGATACACACCCACCCACACACATCCAAACCATTAGTTAGACTGAAGGTTTCTGGGACACTTGCCACCTACTGAGCTTTAGAAACGTGTGTGAGTGTGTTTAGGGTAGCATAAAATCTAATTTCCCGCTCTGTGCACAAGGAAGCATTTGCTTTAAGCAGTTAGTAGGTGTTAAAGTCCAAACTGGTTCTACAAAGTTCAATAACAGGTATTCGCTGTAACAGACCAACCAACAGACAAATATTCATTGGTTGATGGATGGATAGATGGTTTGTTGGTTGGATGGATGGATAGGCAAAAAAGATTTACTCTGCTATTGACAGGCAAACAAACAGATTGTGTCGAACTCATGTGTGACTATTTGAGAGATGGCTTAACTCCCATCTGAATTAATCTAGTTTTCCTAGCAAATCCCAATTGATGGCTGACTGCAATGTCTCCGAAGCAGAGTTTCCAAGTTGTGAAAACTTTCTAAATGTGTTTAGAGGATTCCATTTTGACCTTTGCCTTATGCCACAAAAGTTTATACAATAAGATAGTAAGATTGAAAATGTTAACTGTCTTATATTATCAAAAATAATGTGAAGGGGTTAAAGTGGAAATTATGTCAGAGGTCCATGTATTGTGTTGCAGACTTATACTGAAATTAGCATGCTAAATGAATAACCCTATCCCATTCTATCTTGTAATACATGTTGTTCCTCGAGATTCGAGAGTGACTAATTGTTTCGTCATAGGGCGAAAAAGTACAGTGGCCCCAAACGATGTCAATAATAACTCCATGGCAGTTTGTTTAATAGATTAAATCCAACATGGCAGGAACAAGACAACAACTCACACCCTTGCCAGGTCCTCCCTGCCTCCAAGAGACTACTTCTCTGCGACAGACAAGAACATGTGGCAGTTCCGTGAGACAGACCCCTAGTAAGCAGATTTGAATTCTTGAATGCTTGAATTCAGCCAGAGCAAAACCCAGCAACGTATAGTTCTGATCCAGGTTTACTGCTCCTCTGACTCCCCACTGCATCAGCAATCCTCCTGTTGCTTGTGTTACACTTGTTAGGCCCAGCGCTCAACCAGCCCTCTGTGGCCTAGTGCTTCTTTGTGCTAGCTGAATTTGAGTTGCTGAAGACCACTGAGTGTGTCATGTCCTGCCTGAATTTTTTGTAGTTAAGTCATTCTCTTGGAAGACATAAGATAGCAGTGTTTTCCGACCAGATCTCAGATGTTGATCAGTTTTTCGAAAGACTGCCCCTAATTTATTTTGAGCATTCACACATTCACACATTCATCCTTTAAACAGTATTCAATGATGAACAGCATAATATAATCACCCAGCAAGCAACCTGTATTACTGTATACGCCCAAATTGTGTTGTGTAAGCGTTGAGACGAAGAGGCTGCATGAATATATGGAAATATGCTTCTGAACCAAAAAATGTATGTGAACTCCGAGCAAAGGGATCAGATGGGTTGGGCAGAGAGGCTGCAAAGGGTTGAGAATTTAGAATATAATTGACCAGTGGTTGAGAAACTCCAGAGGAGGGACCAGTTGTCTGTGATAGGAGGACCTACTTTTAAAATGGATATCTAGAACATGTTGAACCGCTGGAGCTTTTGTGAAATGTAGATACAGCATCTTTACTGAGAACTTGGGGCACATATGCAAATATTGGTTTCTATTTAATCCAATTATGTACACATGTATGCTCTTTGACATCATGAGAATTTCTGCAGCGCATTTTATATTTAATGCAAAGGGCATCTTTTACAAAAAAGTTGCATTAAACCTCCTTTGGTAGACTTAATTTAGGGTTCATGTTTGTGGTGCATTTCTGGACATCATACGTGTACAGCTGTAATTAACAGCTGCTTAAGTGTAGCTAATGAGGTATAGACTGTTGAAGAGGACAGAAGAAAACCAATTTTTTTACAATGTGAACAGAAATGAGTTGACAAAGTGGCTTTAGAACATCCTAATCACAGTTACTAACACTCTCTCACAATTGGGTCATATTGGATGCCAATTAACACAATTTGTCAACTATCACAATTACCACATTTGTGAGATCCTAGATAATTCTACTTGGCATGCAGCAACTTACCATGACCCACCGTTGTAATGTTTTCAATAATGGCTTAAGTAAAATAACTATTTGATGAGACTTTTGTCCGAGGGTGTCTATATGTGTCAGAGATCATTTGTGGAAATTCTTTACTGATAAACTATTTAAAAAAAAACACTGTAAGCCTGGAATGTATTTTTCAATTAGATCCTGGTACATTAATTTGTAGATTACACTGATTAGGATAATGGAGTAATTATGTCCTCAGAAATCTATCCAGGCATAGCAGATGAATGATAGGGCTTCACTGACTATGGGGAGAATTAGTGAAGTTTCTCATTGTCCCTTCATAAATATGGCAGTGACATAAAGAGGGCATTAGGATGAAAGGCTGTAACTAGAGTATGGGTAAAGGTCTACAAGTGGTTCAGGGTTGGGGCCGAAGGGGGTTGTTGATGTAAAAGCAACAATACTGAGTTGCCAAAAATGTAAAGATTTTGCAACATATGCCAGAACTTGATTATTACAGCGTTCTTTAAGTCTATTAAAGAAAACTTGCAATCTTGTAAAACAAAACAAAAACACAATTTAATTAGTTTCACACTTTCCCCACAATGAACCATCTAATCAGGGACGGATCAATACCAACACATTTTTTGTTTATTCGATTTGTCCACTGGCTCTTGAATCTGCCAGTCCCTGCACTTTTACCATAAAGCAAGCCTTGCAAGTTTCCTCACATTAAAACAAATCCCAGCAAATGTGTTTAAGGTGTGGAAGTCATAGGAAAAAAAAGAGATTTGAAATAGAGCACAGTGACAACAAAGCTGGGATTTCCCAGTGCTTCGAAAGCAGCCGTTGTATTTATTTAAGAAAGCAGACTGCCGCACTTAGTGGCACATTTCTTCCCTGTTTATTTACATGAGGAACAAAGAAGGGGTTACAGATGTATGGTGATCACAGTGCAGAAGTGCTACAGCTGAGAATAAATCCTCCAATCCTCCTGGGGGATGAGAGGAGGTTGAGAGGCTGATGCCCTGCGGAGTGCATTACCATTTCTTTCCCAGAAACAGGACTTCTAAAACTGAAATGAAACACGTACAATTGTTTTTGTTATTGCTTTTGTTGCAGCAATAATCCAGCCGTGTGTATGCAATAAACAGATGAATAATGATGATCTTATTTGCATGCCCATTGGGTACAAAGATTAATGGGATAAATGAAATTAAACAATAGCTTAATCTAATAGACTCTTCGTGCAAAGCTTGTGGAAAAGTTGTAAAGTCAATTACACTGAGATGCTGAGGGCTTTTTAAGTGTGTGCTTGTGTTTGTGTGTTTGACTGGATGCAAGCAGGTGCTTGACGGATTGATTGACTGGTATGTTGAGTAAAGTATGCCAAGACACACTGACGTAGCTCAGTATTAAAAGGATGACTGTGAAAACTTTCAATTGTATCAGCTCATTTTCTGGATTTCTATAAGTGCACTGCACAGTATTTGTTTAGTGGGTTTGGACTGCTCTGATCATAATGGCTCTAAAGAAGATATTTGAGTAATTAGAAACAGGAAAAAGAAAGAAGCCAAGGTGCCTTGCTCTGCAGCTACCAGTCCATAATCTGTTCTTTTGTCAGATCGAGATGTCCCTATTGACTGAACTACCGCCAGGTGGTTTTGGCTATTTCAGCCAGTGATATACAAATCGTACATATTTTACAGTATTGACAACCATATCATGTAATGTATAAAAAATGTGTAATGATAAGTCCAACCTTGCAGAGAGCTGTTTTCGCAGTCCTTGATTTAGATGTATTACCTTTGCCAAGGAGGGTATGTTTCCGGCTTGATTTGTTTCTGTTTGTTGGTTTATTTGTTTGTCAGCCGTTTTATGGAAATCCTTCGGATTCATTTGAACTGAAACTTGGAAAAGGGTGTAACATGGGCCAAGGACAAACCCATCAAATCTTTTTTCATTCAAATTGAAATTGGAATGAAAAATGGTAAGAAAATACAGCAGTTTTTTTAATTGGAAAAAAGGTGGACCAACATCCAATAAAAAGGGTTGTGTCCTACTTGTGTCCTGGGTCACATGACATTGAAGCTATTCAAAAATGATGCCGACTTGAGATGCTGTTGTTAAGAGTAAGGGCTTGAATGTGAGCCAATTGTCCTCTGACTGACAACAGTCTAAGTAAGAAAATGCTGCAGGATCCACTGTCTGCTGAATATACAACCTAAAGCAAATACTGATTGCACAATGCTATGGCTATGAAATAATGACTCCATCTGCTTTTAAGTTGGTTCCAAATAAGCCTTGATTCTTTATGCAATTATGGCTGCCACGGGGTACCATCTTCCGGGAAAATTAAGTCTCCATTGACGGCACAAAGGAAGCGTGTTGTTACCCGTAGTGCAGCAAAAGCAGGAAAGCATTATCGTTTTTTGTTTTCCCCGGGAGCCATCCTTACTTACCAAGTGAGTATTAATGTTAGTTATTTGCAGTTACCATCGCCAGGAGTGAAAATGAGTGAAAGGAACAACTGAAGTCACTGAGGAAAACAGAATGCAGTATGACCTGTGTTGTTAATAGTTGCTAAGCTTTGAGAAAAGTTGAGGGAGTTGAGAAGTTCTCTGTTTTAAATGAAGTAACATCATTTTACGGTATAGAAGTTGTGAGACTTGCGATTTAGGCTCTGAACAACTTCACATAAAATGTCAGTGTCTACTTTTCCTTATAATTTGGGTTTAATTGGTCCTTTGGAAACATTATCATTAACCAAGAAGATTTCAGAAATGTGTCCCTGCAACTTACACAAAGATAACATTAACTGTGACCCCAAAAAAATACATAGTTAGGGGACGTTTGAGTGTTTTTTAGCTATCTCAAGCTAATTTAGAGGCTTCAAAGTGTATTTGCCAAAATTGTAAAACCAGAGGCATCATAGAACAGGATATCATTCTAAAAAATACCCTTTAGTTTGGAAAAAGGTCAACAACAATATAGGTATCGCTGATAGCATATAAATTGTTGTTCTCTTCTAAAGGTGGTTAAAGGACAATTTCAATCATCACTGACTAAAAGCCCATTTCCAAAGGTACAAAACAAGCAAGCACTCAGCCACTGTTTGTTGCAGAATCTCAACATTATGAATGCTCAGACAAGAATATAATGAAACACTTTGAATGATATTCGCCCCATCCTCATCTTAAAAAAAAAAACGACTGCAGAATTGTGGATATGAAGCAGCGCATAATTAGGCTGCCCACTCTAGTTCCCTTCAGCATTTAGCCATTGGGTGGATGGTTTTCATTGCACCACCTGCCACCATTGTGAGGCAACACTTTTATCATCGCTGGTCCAGGTGGAAATTCTTCACCATTGCCATGCTCTTACCCATTGATCTGTCCAGGCCTCATCAATCAAATGATGATCTCATGAATTGCAAATCATGGTGTGAATGAATTACATGGCATTGACCAACTACAGTATGAGGATCTTCCCAGTTGAGTCTCTTAAGATGTTAGGTGTGTTTTAAATATAGAGTACATACGAAAATAGATGTGTATTTCTTGTGATGTGAGTAATGATATTCATGGGAGCAGGTAAGTGGAAGCTGAAATCTATTATATCTAGCAGAGTGTGTTTGTTCTGTGGGAACAAATTGAATCTTTTGGATACAAAGTAATTCTGTTGGATTTATAACCTTTCTGTGTTTCTGTCTTTCCTCTTTTTCTTCTCTTCTCCGCTCTACTACATCTGTGTCCCTATGCCCCATCTTCCTTTTCTTACTCATATATAACCTTCTCCGTAATGTTGCCACTAACCTCCTCCACCATTGTCCTCATTTTGCATTCTCTCCATTTTCCTTTCTCACTTTCCCATTTCCGCAATCTCCCCTTCATTTCAAAAACCATCCTCTAATGTTTTCCCATCTCTGCCCTTTATTAAATCTGGGCCTAATCAACTCTTTGTCCTCCCAATCATTGCTTGTATATGACTCCTATCACCATTATATTTATATTTCCTCCTGTGTATTTGTTTAAACATCTCTATCCCATCTCTCCAATCCCAATCACTTTGCATCAAATGTATTCCATTCTATTCCAATGTATTATATCCTTCTCGCCCTTTTACATTGAACATTCATCCTCTTGACCCTTTCCCAAATCGCTTTCCCATTCATCCGTGCCCCTTATTATACAATCTCCTCTCAGAACCCTCTCCATTTCCAACTGGCGATGCGGACCGTTGAGGCCCCACCGTCCCGTCTCCTCTCTACCCTTCTGATGATGAATGGCTGGTGGGACATCAGTATTCTGCTCTGTCAGGAATGGGACATAAGCGATTTCCTCCTCCTCGTCAAAAACAACACCCGCTTCCACCTGGGCACTCTAGTGAACCTGACCAGTTCCGCTTCATCTTTGTCACCGTCTTCATCTTCACCATCACAATCAGGATTGGCATCAGGAGGGGAGATTTCATCGTCATCATCTTCCTCTTTGCCTTACTTCTCCCCTGCTGCCTCGTCCTCTGCTGCTTCTGCCTCCACTTCCTCTTTCAAATCGGACCAGCAGCAGGCTCTCATGCGGCAGCTGGAGGCCCTGAGAGAACCTTCGTCCACCAGGGGAGTGGTGACGTTTGGGTGCGAGATCCGCGAGGTCCGGCGCCTGTGGACGCTGGCCAGTCGGATGACGCTCCCAGAGTTTCACTGGGTTTTGGGGGACAGCCAGAATGTGGCCGAGCTGAGAACAGAGGGGTTGCCCCTGGGGCTACTAGCACACGGCATCATGGGATCCCCCTCTCTTGATCACTACGTGCAGGACTCGGTGGAGCTGGTCGCGCGGGCCGTGGGCAGTGCGGCCAAAGAGAACCCTGTCCTGGCACTCATACCTGGAACTACTAACTGTATGGATGTACCGCAGAGCAACGGCAGTTCGGGGGAATACTTGTCAAGGTAGGGTATCATCTAAATACTTCATACAATACTTCAGATCACCCACACAACCCTGAGTTTGTGTGACTGCGAGGATATAATTGATTATTTGACAAGGATGGCAAAGGATGGCGTTAGATTTATAACTCTCAAGAGGTTTTCCAATGTTTTTCTTGTCATTTTCTACAAATCACTTTTATCAGAGTTGGAAACCATGTTGTTATGGACACTTGAAAAGCACCTCTTCTTCTGTGAATCTTATAGTTTCTACTCATATACGAATGATTTAAGAATCTACTGGAAATATAAACCTGGCCATTAAAACACAGAATAACTAAGCAACTGTTTTCTATACCAACAGTCTATTTGCACATCAATCAGACACAGATAAGCAATAGCATTCATATAGAGTTCTGCTTCTGGGAGACCCGACATGTGCAAGTCCAACAATCACTCTATGTGGAGTTGGCTGGGTCGCATAAAGTGGGTTTTTAGAGCCATTCCGCTCAAAACATCTGCCTGCCGCATCGAAAAACCTGGGTCATCTCCACCCTACAGCCCTCATTATACTTTCCCCCCCCGTGCTTCTGTTTGTTATTCAGCTTCCTTTCTCTACTTTTGTCTCCTCTAATCCTCTCATTGTGGGAGAATGTACTTTTCTCACATCATGCAGATGTTTAGTCACAGTCCAGCTGCGATGCCAGTCTTGAATTCACCAGAAACACATTCATAGACATCTAAGGAGCATTCATGCAAAAGCAAGCAGCGATTGTAATAGACAATATATGCGCTCTATAAATGCAGCAGTGATGAATTGTATTCAGCAGCAAGCGCTGTAATCTGGAGCTAGGCCACTTTCGTTTATAGTTGCACAGTAAGATATGAGCGATGAAGAGTGTGTGATCACCACCAATGCATTACCATAAGAGTTTGACCTTTCCTATTGAGATTCTCCTCAAAACACCTGAGTCGGCAGAACGATCATCCCGGGATGAAAATTCTTTGAAAGTGTTGAGATCCCAAGGGCTGGAGGAGATTACTGATTGTCTTTGAATTCTTTGCCTCATATTTGCTGTTATAAAGTGTTGATTAGTCTGGAAGTGTTTTACATATCCAAGCTGAAAGAACACGTGTTACGGGACCTTTTACCAGGTTTAGAAGTGCCCTGTCGGTGAACCTGTGAAGGCAGGGGATTCATTTAAAGAGGTTTAGTTGGATATGGGGTCTTAGCCAAGCTGTAACACACACCTGGGATTTTGAAAATGTCAGCCATATGCCTGGCTTCTTTATAGCTTTAGATAGCTTATATGATAAACTATAACCAGTTCTGGATGCTGTGAAAAGGAAAGGTGTGTAACCTGCAAATGTAAAAAAATAGGCAGTTGAGAAAATGTTATTCCTTTTGCTTCAATTTGTTTCGACTGCCTCATCACTTTTTCCAATTTCCGTAGGTCTCTTTACAAATTGAAAGATTGTTAAATTGTGTCAGATGTCGCTATCATCATCTATTACCACTTACTTCTGTATTGCAGTAAAGCAATTGGTTTTGGAATGATCTTTAATCAGATTGTGGAGGCAGTGTAGTTTAGCTGTCAGATGTCACCTGTGTTTTTTCAGAGTATATTTCCTTTGGTTTTTCAATGCAAGTGCTTTCCATGAAGCCAGAAACCCGTGTTCTCATTCATATTAATTTAGTTTTTTCCATTTCTCCATACCTTTTTATATTGATTTCTACTGATCACACGCCATTGCTTAATCATGATATTCCACACAATGACAGAGGGCTCAAGGGGATAGAGAACACCTGAGGGAGAGTAAATATATAAACTAATTGAGGGTGCACCAAAGGTTGAAGTTAGCATTTGCACATGAAAGTTCCAGGAAGTCAGACTTCATATATTTTTAAATGCAATTTTGAAATATTTAGCTTCAGGGCTGACATTTAGATACAGGAGAAGTGCTTGGATGCGTTAAAGTTTGATATCAGTCTATATTATTGCTGTTTTTATGAAGACTGGGTTCACCTGCGGTTCCTGGGGTGAGATGAGATAGATGGAAGTTTGGAAAACAACAGAGTTCATATGATGAAAGTTCAGGGAGTTTACCTGAAATACTTTTTGGTCCATGCTATTTTAATTTATGACAAATTGCTTAAAACCCTGATGTTCTTAAACACAGTGCATCTAAAGGTCTAGATGACCTTTTCAATTGTTTCAGAGTTGTATAATGAAGAGGTATTATCAGTGGGGGGCTAGGAAGAACCCTTGTTGAATAAAAGTATAAACACATCACATCACAAGGTAAAAGGACTTTTGAGCAACTTTAGCTCATACAGGAAAACAAGAACACAAAGATACAAGCCTGAGGCATGTGTCATGAGACATGAAGTTGTTATTTGAACATTTGGCAATGGTGCTCTAGTGTTTTACAGGCTCTCAGGTGGGGTAGTGCATGAGGCAGTGTGCAGGACTGGAGGGAGTTACATTGACTTTAATATCTCCATCTGTTCCTGTTTCCAGAATGTTTCCATGCAACAAAAAAAGTCAATGATCTCATTTGAGACTAGTAAAGAAGTATCAATCCACAATATCCTCTAGCTTGGTGTTAATGTGACTTCTATTTTTGTGCATGTTGTATCTGTAGAAACTAAAATGTATTGTCATCTCACCATGATGACAAGGAGATTGTTTACTTAAAGGTCACCTATTGTGCAAAATCCACCTTTTCATGTCTTTTATACATCAACATGTGTTCCCTCTGTGTAAAGAGATTCTCAAAGTTTCAGGAAAAAGGATTCGCTCACTTTTTGTCCTGATCCATTTATATAAAAACCTGTCTGAAAATGAGCTGATCAGATTTTGGCCACTAACCCTAACCCTAACCATTAGCCAATCACCAACCAAGGTAACCCCCTCCCCCCTCCCCCACCTTATCACCTGAATCTCCTCCTGGAGCACATCTTTGAAACCAAATATCTCTCAGAGGGGCAATGATCTGTTTGGTATTTCGAGCAAAACACTTCAGAGACATGTTTTGTATATATCTGAGACCTATAATATATTGATGAAAAACAGTATAATAGGGGACCTTTAATACTTAAAGTACAATGGGAGTTATTATCAAATAAGATATAATAATTAGAATAATTAGACTTTTCTTTGGACCTTTTCAAGAATATATCAGTAAATGAGGCCAAATATTCCCATACACAACGACAAATAGGTACAATTATCAATTTATGTATGGATTTGTTTTCCTGCCTACTGTACCTACGTGATCAGCTAGTGAACCCTAATATTTATTTCAACGACCCCCACATTGTAAAGTTTTGTCCTACACCCTTCAAAAGCCCCCTTGCCATTTTCAGTCATTTTTGACATTTCTGTCGCAGTGAGGGGACTGCCTGTGGTTTGTTGTGAGAGCTGACCTGGAGGAAGTGTTGTCAATAGTGTTGAAGCCAGAAAGCAGATGACAGATGAGCAACAGGGAAGCTTTAGCAGTTCTCAAGCTGCGCATTGAAACCCTCCAGGGAATCTATTGCATGATTAGTATGGACTTATGGTGGCAGCAGAGTTGCTGGCCAAGCAAAAAGGAAAATTCACAAGGGGAAATAGCTAATGAAATATAGAGGTGTTTGTCATCAGATAAGTGTTTGTAGAGGATTATGGCAGATGAGCCATTGTGGAAATCACCGGCAGATGTTAAACCACTTCCTTTATTACCAAGCAAGTAAAGAGCCAGATGTTGTTGGTAGGAAAACACTATTCCAAACTTTATTGGTGATACAATTCAAGTATCACAATCTTAATTGCAACCAAACAGATTAAACAAGCTAAATAAGATAAGTAGTTTCAAAATAATTATAATGTTATCAAGGTTCTGGATCAAACCCTAATTCATTTCAACAGATCCACATCTGATGGATGAAAAAGAGCAAACATATGAATGCCAACACATTTGGCCAGAAGCTGTTTCCCTGATTGCGTTGTGATAAAACAGGGGAGAAGATATCAGACATCATCCTGGATGGTGAATTCATAATGCGTGAGGGAGATATTTGGGAATTTAAAATACTAACGGTGTCAAATGAGGTGAAATAGGTGTGTGATCTTCACTAATCAAGATGCACAAGTTGATAGTAGTAATAATATATTGTAGTATATCAGTCTTAATCGAAAACACAAGCATGTGAATCTTCTTACATAGTTAGTTGGTTGTATTTGCACTAGTGTTTGGTAATTCTTCATAAAGTAAGTTGAAAATCATCATTCAGGAATAAATAATGAAACAGTATTTCAGAGCTGAAGAAGTTGAACTAACGTGTTCAGCCGCTATGAAAATACTTTGGATGTGTCCCTAATGGCATTCAATATATTTCTAAATGCATTTTACTGTTAATGCAAAACAATTGTGATATTTAATAACTCACATTTTAGTTATTGACATAAGATTGATATGCATGTGTGTGTATGTCAAAATGCATCAAGGACGCAGAATACTGAATTTGGAATTGTGTAATGTGTTGCAAAGTGTTTAGAGATTGGATTCCCAATTGAAATGGTTTAAAAATAATCTTACTTATTCCTTATATTTATACATTAATTATGCTGGCTTAAATAATGTTTTCATGAATGAAAAATTCAACAAAACAAATGAATAATGTTAAATATATATATTATACAATATGAAATAATATAGGCATTCCATTACGAGAAAACATATGATTAAATATTCTTTATTTCAAACAGGGTTAATTAGTCGTCACTGGCTTTTCTGTTTCCCTCATTTATTTAGTTTTATTACTTTGTTGTTTTCTGTAAGTTTTTCATGCTCTCCAGAGGATTTCATCTAATTAGTGTTCTCCTCTAAAATGCCACCAGTTGGCCCACATTTCCACTTGCATGCAGATTATTATGTAACAGGCAAATCTGAAGATTGTAAAATATGAAAATCATGACATTGTTTTTGTTTCATCCAACATTAAAGTTGTAATAGTGTGATAATTTTAGCTGAAAAAACCTACTCTAGGAGACACCATCCATGTTGCCTAATCCCACCTTTTGCTAAGCCTCGCCTCCCTTAGTTACCGTTGCCATGTCTCTCAAGCTTTATGTCCTTGCCTGGCACAGTTTCTAAAGGGTCTTTTTATTTCTGACAAAACATTGGTTGGAGACATTTAGCAAACAGTGAATTACCGTATTGTTTCATACTGAGGTATTGGATTCATCTATGTATGTTTGTATTATTTTATCATTTAAAACAAAGTTGTGACATGTGAATACACTTACACACAAAAATATATATATCATCCTACATTTTGTGAAGTGTAAAGTGTGATCACCACCTTTATCTAGTTAAACTTAAGGATCAGTAAACAGGTGGTAGACAACAGAACAGTTTACTATTTCAAAGTTATACGGCCTAGTGTGTTTGAAAGGAACTGATAAGGTTTGCCCAATAAACTAAAAATCTGAAGCAGGCGAGATACTGCGTGGGTGGCTGAAGATGTGATAACATATCAGGGGAAGAGAAAGAAGGGGTGTGCAGAAAAAGAAAAGGAAAGACAAAGCGGAAAATACAGACATCTAAAATAAACACTGTATAAAACCCCTGGTGATACAGATCCAGATACACTAAAGGGGGCAAGAGTCCTATAATAACAGATAAGATACAGCCTATGATAAATATATGATATTGTTCTTGTTTGCAACCAGAGTCAATCCTTATGTATTGCAATCATTGTAAATGGCCACCAAAGCCAGGTATAGTGTCCTGATGTGTCTGCCAGCTGAGCTATAAAGATGTAAATGCTATACCATAAATGTCTCCTTTGAAGTTTGCATTTCCTGAACAAATGTAAGTAAAACACTCTCAGGGAGGGAAAAGGGAGGGATACTCTTGAAAAAATGTTCACTACTAAATGAAAAATATATTTAATGTTTTTTCAGTTTGTGTGCAATTCAAACAAAATATGAAAGTACATTTTGGCCCATTTTCATTTAGTGTGCTTTTTACCTTTCTAGATGGCCAGTCATTTTGCGGTAATAATACCCTGCATTCTGTTAAAGTCATTTTTAGGGTGTTTACATGCATGCTGATGTGAACAAATGCAATTGAAATCAATACAATGTTTTGATTTCATGATATGATATACACTTTAACTGCTCTTTGAATAGTCACAATCATACTCCACTGAGAAGCAATCAGTCACCCAGTGTTATGTCTGAATGTTGGAGCACTTCTCCCCTAAAACGAACATTTGTATACCAATTACTCACCCTATGTTACCAATAATTCTTTAAAAAAGCTTCCTTTTTTTTGGTTTGCCTCAAGAGGCCACAAAGATTCAAACACTTTAGAAAAAGTGTGATTAATGGAAGTAAATGGGGTTTATAAAAAGCCTTTTAAAACATCCTTTTGCAAATTCTCACACAACTTCTATCGAATATTAATAATGATAATAATAATAATAAATTATATTTCGATAGCGCTTTTCTTGAACCCAAAGACGCTTTACATTATGAGGGAGGGTAGACAAACAAGGACAGGCAAAAACAAACACAAATTATTCATTTACAAAAATACAAAAAGTATTCATTTATTCAGTCTTATGTACACTACTTTCCAAACACAAGCATATTTGTCTATTTAACTTATATTAACTGTTTAACTTGTATTTCAGTCTTACTGCAAGGGTGTCGGAGTTTGTACAGTAAATGTTTGAAAATTGGTAATAGCGGCCCCTATTTACTTTAATTCATCTTGACTTTTTCTCTGTTTTCGATTTTTTCATTAACCGTATAAGCATGCGAGGAGAAGCATATAAGTATTAGTTGTAAAATGCACTTAATGTATTTATAAAAAAAACAACATTTGCATTGTGGGATTTATCTCAATTCATGATCTATAATAAACTATATACGTCTTTTAATCTTAATTTTGTTACAATTATAGTGACTGTCAAAATGATTCAGGTCATTTACCTTACATATGCACAGTTTGATTTACAGCAATGCGTCATATGTGATTAATGCATTACAAGTCTGTAAATCTAAATGTGTTAAGTCGTGAGCAACTGTCAAAAATATGTAGTAAAGTCTGACTGTGAAGGTAATGCAATGTACATGTTCTGGTTCTCAGGTTATCTCAGGCACAGCAGTCCTGTAGGTGTGTCCGTTCAATCACTGCGGTCTGATTAGAGGAATTCAGTAGTTAATTAATGAGTGGAGCCAGCCCGGATCAAGCGGGGGTGTAATGAGTACCCTGGAGTTTTGATTATGCGAGTGCAGTGGCAGCCCCTCTCTGTGTTTTCGACTCACAGCTCTCTGCCTGCTTTCCACTCGGGCGTGACAGAAAATGGTCCGTCAAATCCCTTAAAAAGAGTAACATGGGAAAATCAACATGTACACCCACACATCACTTATCTGCTCAACATTTTCCTCCAAGTTTATTGTAGCATGTCATGTTTGTTACACTATTGGGATAGAGTAGTGTTGGAGCAACCTCTGAGTGAAAAAGAGAATCTGTGAGTTTATAAGAAGCTGCTTTCTGCTGCAGGCGAAATGTGAAGCTCATCTCCCCTCGTACACTCTGCTGACATACCATGCTAGTAGTCTAAAAGGGTCTGTAACTTCACATTCCAGCAATGAAACACGCTCAAGTTCTATTGATGTCTTGACTGAACACAAAACTTTTACATTATGTGCCCTTTTACCACCATGTGACATTTAGCTTTTAGCACCCTGTGCACTGTCAGGAAGAACATGTCACTTAAATTGTGTACAAGGGAGAATAAGACGCACTCTCCAGGTATTAACAGCTACAAGCTGCAGTGAAGACACCGACCTTCAGACAGACTAGTTGAGCTGTCAGGTTGAGTTAACACCCCTAAAAGACGTAGTAAAGTAGACTTGGTTTTAAAAAAGGGAGTTTCACAGTGAGCAAGGTGACACGAAAGAGACATTTCAGGGAAAGGTCACATCATTTACGTCATTACCCTGTGAAAGCACATCCAAAAAGTGTTGTTCTTTGTACTTGCACAAGACATACACCAAAATTCTTTATTTCTTTCCAACCTTATCCATTCAAAGTGTGTGTGTGTGTGTGTGTGTGTGTGTGTGTCTGCTCCGATATCTGACACTCTCAGACAGCCAGTAGCATGGCTCAGTGAGAGAGATGTGGAGATCACTGGACCATGGTCTGTCTTATCCTGTCACACGCACACACACTGACACACACACTCCAGACAGCCACTGAGGCCACCTAGATAATACACCTCTCCTGTGCTGGTGTTACAACATTCAATTGGGATTTCTTTTTGTATACTAACCAAGGGTAAAATATAATCGTACAGTTTAAGCCTGTAAATCCCGGCTACAGAAATCCTACATAATAAGGTTTTCTTATTGGCAAATGTACAAAAAAAACAACAAGCCAGCAGAAAACCCCTTTAGCAACTGTTCGCATTTGCAGTTTTCTTGACTTTTTGGCTTTCTGCATGCATACATAATGTTGTATACATTGATAAAAGACAAAAGGGCTTTCACCTACAGTAAGTACAGTTTTGGGTTGTTGGGATCACTTTCCTCTTTGAAGAGATTGTTTTGTTACCAGGAAAACTTCAGCTTTGATTGTTTGTTTAAACGCCCGTAATGCCACATTTATCCATGTACAAACGAGAGTCGGGAGTGTTGGAGCGTGGTGTAGTCACAGCAGGGCAAAGCCTCTCAGTGAACAGGCCGCATTGGATCGTTGAGTTAACAAAGCATGTGGCTTTGAAAAGTGTGAGAGACTGCTGTTCGCTCGCTGTTTCTTCCAAAAAACAAAAAAAGCTGTTTTCTTTTTAACTACAATCTGTCAGTAATGAAGTTATTTTTCGTTTTAACCATGGCCATGATAGTTTATTTCATTTGAATTAAGTATCTCTTTCTCCAAATGACAATCTTTTATCTTTCTGTAGCTTTAAAGGTAAACAACTCAGGGTTAGGGTTACTCCACCTACTTGCATGTTTATAAGTGACCATATCACACCATATTCCTTTGTAGATTATTAAGGAACTGAAAAATATTTTAAAGAACAAAGTTTGAATTGTAGGTCAACTGAGGTCAAAAAGGTGTAGATCTTGATCATTTATGGTAAATAAAGCAGGGCTCTTGGCTCTTTTATAAAGGCATTAACAAGTGTCAGCCTAATGACCCAAAGTTGCAGCTGTTTTTCCAATTATCATACTAATACATGTATAATACATCAAATTGTGTGTATTCCATTTTATAGTTCAAAGAGAATGGTTGCAAATGGCTGAAATCAGTTGTAAACCCATTTCAGGTTGATGCCCTACAAGTTCTGTTTTTTATTAGCAAGAGAGTAATTTCAAATATGAAACTACAGTAGTTCTTTACATGTAATGAAAATTAAAACATTACACTCAGTTTATGATGATACTTTGTGAGAAAATAAAAAAAAACGTTGTAACATCAAGAGCAAAGATTATATTTACAAAACATTTTAAATAGTTTTGCACTTCCGCATTTAAACAGCATGTATTTCTTTGGTAGGTTGACACAAAAATATAATAAGCCCTATTTGTTTTGGCCATTAGAGTGCAACAGCAATACAAAAGTTTCCTATCCATGGTAGTGAAACTTTTGAATCCAGTCTTGCCAATTTGCCGCCTTCCAGACTTTGTTATACATATTGTATTGTGTATTTTATAGAAAGCAACATGTTTTCCAGACTTTCTATTAGTTTGGTTTGTTTTTTGAGTTACTGTCGAACTATGGTCCGAAGTTTCTCTTTAATTATACACCTGCAAGGAAACAAACACTATACTGATATACATTGTACATTTAAATAACAATATTTAATCTTGTGGTTTTTCTGCCTTTTTCTCTCCTCATCAACCTCCTTCCACCACTTTCCTTCCCCTTTGTCCGACTCCTTTCAGATTTCTATCCAACACATCATTTGAGGGCCAGACCGGTTTTATATCCAGAGACTCTCTCAGCCAGAATGTCATCTCAGAGGCCCATCACTACATCTGGTCCCTCCAGCTGGACCCTCTAGGCCAGCCAACCTGGACCCGCCTGGGACGCTGGCGCAGGGGGGAAGTTCTCATGGACCGCCGGGCCTGGCCGAGCCATCAGGGATCTGGGGGCGGAGGAGACTGGCGTCGATCCGCGCGACTGCACATGCGGGTGGTGACGCTGGTCGAGCACCCGTTTGTGTTTACCCGCGAGGTGGACAGCGATGGGATGTGTCCCGCGGGCCAGTTGTGCCTCGATCCGCTCACCAATGATTCTTCGGTTGTTAAAGGATTATTCAAGAAGCTCTCGGGACGCAATGGATCTGTCCCCACAGAATTGAAAAAGTGCTGTTATGGTTACTGCATAGACCTGCTGGAGAAGCTGGCAGAGGACATGGGCTTCACCTTCGACCTCTATATTGTAGGCGATGGGAAGTACGGTGGGTTCAAGAATGGGCGGTGGACAGGATTGGTGGGGGATCTGCTCAGTGGCGCCGCCCACCTGGCAGTGACATCTTTTAGCATTAATTCGGCCAGGAGCCAAGTCATCGACTTCACTTCACCCTTCTTCTCCACCAGCCTGGGAATTCTGGTCAGTACTCCCTATTCCTCTCTCACCCTTTCTACAGAAAATCTCTGGCTCTCTTGCTACAGTATGACCTCTCCTCAACTCTCGCCACTTTGTATGCTGGTGGTCAGTGTCAATATTGCGGAGTGTTATTACTGCAGGCACTACGTTATTGGATTGTAATGCTATTCCCCTATGGGGCTAGACTGGTGAGCAAACAGCTTTGTAAGGGGATCCTATTACTACAATTACCGCAAAGTGATAGGGAAATACTCTCCCCTCTAAAGACACCGCTACAGTTGTTGATGTTCTGATTTACAATCCCCCTTTTTTTCTATATTTTGTCAGTAATCATCCCTTTTACAACACTTTTCCCAGTTGGATAATGACACTAATTGTTGTCCAGTTGATGTTAGGCTTCTGAGGATCTAGCTTTCTTGTGAATGTATCTTGTATTTATTTGCTATTTCCTATCTGGCCTGCTACCAATTCATTCCTTCCCTTTTTAATCATGCTTCCATTACATTTTGTGGGACCTGTATCAGTTCCTCGCTCAAATAAGTCGAGCATCATGTAAAATAATTTACTGAATTTCTGATAAGAAACAAGCTGAACACCTTAAACCGACAGATGTGGCACAACCAAATATACAGATAACTCTCCAATTTCCGTACTCACCTGCTTTTGGATTTCCAGTCCTAACCCCGCTATATCCTCAGGATGTATAAACAAAAACACAACCCAATTCAAGTTTACTTTAAGCCTTTGAAAAACCACACATGTTCTTACTTAGATAATATCAGTTGGTTGTCTAATCCTGTGTTCCCCATGCCCAGGTTCGTACGCGCGACACAGCTGCACCCATCGGTGCCTTCATGTGGCCTCTCCATTGGTCCATGTGGCTCGGCATCTTTGTTTCACTCCACGTCACCGCTGTTTTCCTCACCCTGTATGAGTGGTTCAGCCCGTTTGGTATGACCCCACGTGGACGCAACCGCGACCGGGTCTTCTCCTTCTCCTCGGCGCTCAACGTGTGCTACGCCATTTTATTTGGGAGAACGGTGGCCATCAAGCCGCCAAAGTGTTGGACAGGCCGCCTGCTGATGAACCTCTGGGCCATCTTCTGTCTGTTCTGTCTGTCCACCTACACCGCTAACCTAGCTGCCGTCATGGTCGGGGAGAAGACCTACGAACAACTGTCAGGGATACATGACCCAAAGGTACAGAGATGTGCAACTCTGCAAACAATGGATGCTTCTCAAGCTGACATTTAAAGTGTTGGGGTTGTTTCTCTCTGCGGTCCTCTCATTAGTTTAAAGTTAGAAGAAGATGATGTAAGGTTCTTCCTTGCACCAATCAGGATTGAGCAACATTTAAATCCCAATCTGATGACAATTTGGGTTGTCTGGTCACTGATATTCAAATCTAATTAAACCCATAGTCAGACTTATCTCCCCATTGCACAACCACCCCGTCCTGATGGAGCAGATTCATGTTCACCTGGAGATATCTTTTTAATTTCCCTATTTTGTCACTAATATTTCACTAGCAAGAAAACTACGTAGTCAGGGCTTTAATTCAATCAAAAGACAAAATACATTTCTTCTTTTTATATGTTTTTTAATTTGTTTTGGTAAATAAAGTTCACGTTTTGGTTACCAGATGTTTAGAAATGTTTTGACAGAATCTTCTGTTTAAAAATAGGGTTTTGAAATTGGCTAGATTTAATTTGTTTGCTCAAGGCTGAGGCCTTTTTCTTGCAAAATGTCCCTGATCCACTTAATAAAACGTTTGTTATCTTATGAACATTTCAGAAGAGCGGTTGTTTTTAACTTTAAAACTTAAATTAGGAAATGGATTATTTAATTAAACATATTTTGTAAGGGCAAATGGGGTAAGGTAATTACTGTTTTTTGTCAACTCACCAACTCTTTGAATACCAACAGTACAGGTATATTTAGAGTCAGAAAACAAAATAAGTATAAGTATAAAGGACTCCTGCTGCATTTGAGAATAAAAAAATGCCAACTGAAGTTGAGAAAGACAACAGACTAAAATGAAAAGTAGTACTAAAAGATTCTGACAGCATTCTAAGCGTAACATCTTGGTTTCTTTTTTTCTTTCCTGCAGTTGCACCATCCCTCTCAGGGATTCCGATTCGCCACAGTTAAAGAAAGCAGCGCGGAGGACTACCTCAAGAAGAGTTTTCCTGAGATGCACGAGTACATGAGAAGATACAATGTCCCGGCGACACCAGATGGCATACATAATCTCAAGTAAGACAATGTCCACACACTGCACTGTAAAAGAAAAGTCCAAATCTAAAAAAAGTAGAAATGTCATCCCCCATCACCAGCTGGCCTGTTTGCATTCAGAACTCATATTCCTCCTTACCTTGCCACTGCTGTCATCCTAAGCTGCTTCGACATTCAACGGGCATCCCCGCGGAGCAAAGCAGAATAAAGTGAGGGAAGGCAGCTGAAAGCAATGCCCTGGCTGGGAAGGGCACACTTTGAATGGATGAAACAAGATTTTTTTCTTCCTGAGCTTGTAAAGTGCTGATTAGAGGGTTCAAGGGGAAATGTAATCTTTAGAAAATTACAAGTGGGGAACAAGACAGCATACAATATGCCGCAGTGCAACTTTGAATACCCTGTTCTCAGAGTTTACTACCAGAGGGACAAGGCATTTCACATATCATACAATAGACCGAAGCCTCTGTTATTGTAGTACAATGCATCTCCCATTGTACTGCATTGAGGTGTTACTCCATGTGGTTACCTAACTAAATATTCATGAATTGGTTAAAACAAATGAAAAATATGTTTTTATATTGCTATGGTAACCTTTATATGTACAACCAGAAGGGCACTTGCAGACATCTGCCAAGGCCGTATCCTTAAGTGAAAAATATTTTGTATCTGCATGTGTTTTTTCGGATCCACTCCAAGATTTAATGGGTTTCCTTCTTGGCCCACGCTAGACCGCAACACTGAGTTTCATAAACATCAGACCAGTATTTTTTTTTTTCTGCTGACAGAATGAGAAACAAACCAAACAAGTGTTTAAAGTGCTTTTATTTTTACGAGAAGCCTTACCTTTATAGTTTCTTCAAATGTACATTTGAATTGTACTGGTTGTGGGGATAATGTTGGTTTTGTCCGTCCATTCCATTCTCGTAAATATGATATCTCCGGAATTCTTTGAGGTTATTCAAATGTTCCACAAATGTCCACTTTGCATTTCCCCAACACCTGACTGCCCCACCCATCTACACACCTGTTCCCACTTTCCCCGTTAACCCTGCTGTTACCCACTCTCCCACCTGTTTCCACTTCCTCTCACCAATCACTTGCAAGCCTTTTGTTCCTTTCTCTGTATCCACTCTCTCTGAACCCCTGTGACAAGTTTTGGATTTTGTTTACATGCTGATGACTCATACACCATTAGTTGTGATTTTTTCAGAATGAAAGAGGTGTTCTTGCAATTCTCTTGGTTCCCATTCTTGCAAACCATGTCCCCATTCTGAATTGACTTAATGAACTTGTCCAACCAGTCATTTAAACAAACAACAACTACTAACTGCAGCGTGTCTGCTGTATAAATGTGAATTTTAAGAAGTGCAATCACTGAAGCGTTAGCTGCCATTAAACTGTTTTGTGTTGTTGTTCCTAGCTTATTAAAGTGACAGCGATATTAGAATTTGTCTCTTAAAAAAAGAACACACCTGAAACAGAACAGTTTATTGTATGGTTTGTTAACCTAGGTGCTAACAGGTCTTACTTACCTTGTGATGTGAAGACTTTTCCCTGACATGCATTGCATTTCAAAAAGAAATGAAATTGCTGTTTCCCACATCATTTTGTATTAAGTAAAACCCTTAAACAATAATGTGCTCTGTCACCAGTGTAGTTTTCCATTAATGTCATGCTATTGCCAATACATGATTCAGCTACTTTTACAAGCATTTCTACAGGAAGAGAATAAGGTGGGCATCATGTTTTAACCATACTGGTCGGGTAATTGGTGGATGTCAAGGTAGTTCTCTGAAAATAAAATACACAACATCAATACTGTACTATCGTGGAAAGACCAAGGATATAAGCTGCAGCTTAATTCAACCTGTAATAATGAACAGCCAGCTTTTGGGTGGAAGATAGCAGAGGATTTTCAAGTGCCGTCTTTGATAACAAGCAAAAGAATAAAGAGAGAAATCTTGAAAAAAGGCTTTGCAGCATTTGTGTCCCTGTAGGCTGTACCTGTCAGTAAAGGGTTGATTTGTAAAAGCCTCGCTGAGAGTGTTGTGAATTAATATCTCGCCTCAGTATAACAGACTTGGAGTGAGGAATGTGAGTAAATTGGCAGAAACTGGCAGAAACTGGCAGACAGGCAGTAATTTCACTGGCATAAGACCAGTTGTGGGAAACCAGCGGCAAATGGGTGAGAGAAGTTTGTTGAATAATTTACATCCCATTTACAGTGATTTGGTGAACTGCCCTGTGAAGACCTCAAACCCCTCAAGCAAAACACTTCATTCAAACATTATTTTTAATTTGTCGTGCTCTACTTCTCTTTTTTTTGTCTTTTTTTACCAATGATTTATTGGACACAAAATAAATAACCCCCCACCAGGCTGTTTACCCATTTAACTTGACCCTATTCTTAAAATGAAAAGAAAGCGAATAGTTCAAGACCCTACCAAAACCATCCTTTTTTATTCTTTAAACTCACTCTGAGGTTAGAGGTGTAGCATGAGGACACAAACAGTACATATAATACTGATAGCACAGAACAGGAGACAGATGACCAAAACTAAATAAATGAATTCAATTTTCAATCCCAGTAGGTTTTAAAGGTGAATTTTCGAGAAGCTTGCTTTTAAAATGTCAATCCCAGAAGATCTAAGATTTTGCTATGGAGAGTGTTATGGCTTCTTCTGTCACCATAATGTATTCGGGAGAGTGGATACCGATGGTCCATCTGTCTTTTTTGTCTATCCAGTCATCCATCAAAAACATCTCAAATGCCACCGATCAGATCGTCATAAAACTTAAGGGTATAATTCACTCTTTTGGTGGAATGACTGGATACATGCATCAAGTTTGTACCCTGAAATGTGCAACAATTAGTCCAACAAGATGCATGTGGTTTGGTTAGTAAACTATTAAAGCTCCAGGACCTTTGAACTTTCAGCTCAACAGGCACCACAAAGTTATTTTGTTCTACACTCCCAGTATATTCCCTTGCTTTGTATTTACAGGGCTGATCCTCAGAGACTGGATGCATTCATCATGGATAAAGCTCTGCTGGACTACGAGGTTTCCATAGATGCAGAATGTAAGACACTTACAGTCGGGAAACCCTTTGCAATAGAAGGTAACGTATGGCTTCTTTAAATAAGACAAATGACTTGTTTATTTAAGGTTAGGGTTAGACAATACTGTATGTTCCCATATTTTAAGATGTAGACTGTAGAATGGTCTGACCATAGGCATTTTGTAAAGCCCTAGATGTAAGAATATCAATCACTCGACGTTTCCGCAGCAGTTAATCTTCTTGCTTTCAACAGCTTAGATCCTCTACTGTCTACTGTTAATCTCTGGGTCCATTTAGCAGGCTTCTTCCTCCCACTGTGAAGATGTTCCCATGGCGTTTGCTTCCATTACAGGCCACCACAGTCCCAGATTCCTGTGTTGTTGTTAATTACTTAATGCACCCTTAAGCCTCCAGGATACAATCCAAATCAATCAGTGTACCTCCTACCAAGGCGAGGTACTTCTGTAATTGGCTATCGCTGGATTTGTCAAACTTCCCTGGCATGCAAACAATTCTGAGATTTATTGACAATGTAAAGCAACTGCTTTCTTTTCAAGTGAGAATTGTGAGGGTAAAAACTCTCCCTTCTTTCTGTTCAGCTGTTCTTTTTTTTCGGTTGAAAGAATATAATGAAAGCGCATGGAGGTGAAGTTAACAGGATATTGCAGCTGTGACAGGGGAATAGTCACATTGTATGTTTGTGTGTGTTTCTATTGGCAGGCTATGGAATCGGTCTCCCTCAGAATTCTCCACTCACCTCCAACATCTCAGAGCTTGTTAGTCAGTACAAGTCTGATGGCTTCATGGACACGCTGCATGACAAATGGTACAAGGTTGTGCCCTGCGGAAAGCGCAGCTTTGCTGTGACTGAGGTAGGAACATAAACCCCTCTTATATACAACTACCAGCCTGGTCTCATAAACAAATGTGTCAATTACGCTTTAAGGTAAAAAGAAATGTTCCATTCTGTGTTCCAAGATTGGCCAAATGCAATTCTGGAACCTATCGGCAGTCATGATGATGATTACGTTTTTTATTAGCTTGTAAACTGGTTACTTGCAGTCGTAGACATGTTGTCCAACACTCGACCTTACATCTCAAGTTGCTTACCAGACTCTATATATCTGAAGTATAATTGAACGCCTCACAGAAAAGGCAATCTGAAAATATTGTATATTCATTGTCCTAAATTCAATAATAAAAACAGAAAGGTTGTGAGCTGGAAAACCGAAAGAATAACCTGAATGACACTACAACTAAAGTACTCTGTAGAGCTGAGGGGAACTGGATGCATTTTTCTACAAAAAAAATGTTGTACCTATTACAAAAACTAATTGAATCCTTTGTTTACATAAGAATATTGATTTGTGCAGCATTAAAGTAGATCGATAGTCTTTGATATACATAGCAGGATTTAGAAAAAACCTATGATACCAACTGAAACACCACTTTTTATTTGCACCCATTCCATTGGTTAGTCTGTTTCTTTCTCTTTTTTTTGTTTCAAAAGTGTCCATACCTTCCCATTCTCCTGGCTGGTATCTCAGAATAATTTCCCTGCACTGCCTGAACAACCTCTTTATTAATTCAGAGCCCGGCCCCTAACCCTCCACATGCTAACCGCACTTTGTCTCCAAAACTCCAGTCCAATACATCCCTGGCCCTGCAGTCCATTCCCTTCTGCTATTACCGAGCACTTAGCTCTCTCAGCTGCCGTCTCTCCGCCCAGCTGTGACTCAGGAATCCCCAAAAGTGCTTCTAGCTGGTTGCCGACAGCACACTCACTATTATCAAGCATTAATTAAAACTCACTCCCAAAAAAACACATCCCTCTGCCACATTTTCATTCATTTATTTAATTAGCTAGTGTGCGTCACAAAGGCACATAGCGCCATGCTGGTTGCTCATTTACATGTTTAATTAGGATACATGCAAATAACCATATTCTCATATGAGCAGAAGTAGAACACTGCAGTACACAAACTCAGGGAACCAGCTTCTCTGTGTCACAGCTAGACTTGCTACAGATGCTATCTACAGTTGCAGACATCTAAATTGCTCGAGGTACATTTCATTTTGCAGCATCATGCCTCCGCTGACAGCAGAGGAAACTGCTTGACCAGTATTTTATTTCACCTGCGTGACATTTAATTTGAGATACAACTATATTAGTGAGTTGCTGTGCACACATATTATAGATAGTGTTGTAAAATAAGTTATCTAGAATATGTTCTATTCAATTGAATCAACTGAGTAGCAGTTTGTCAGACTTACAATGTGCTGTCAAAATGAACACTGGAAAATATCAGAGCAAAAATTCACTTATTTCACCTTTTATTTAACAAGAACACATTCTTATCTCTGGTTAAAGCTCCTTGGGGGGGGGAGGTCAACGTATCCTCATACAAAGGATTTTATGATATCTTACAGAAAGATAATTATTCATTAAGTCCAACATCACGAGCGATTAGTAAGCCTTCGGAACACCACTTTGTTAAGCTTAGGAAACAAGATGTGTTTCCATTGAATACAAAATAAGCCTTACTTAAAGTAGTAGATATTCTGCCCATTTTTAGATTCATATTTGCATTTGATGCCTCTACTGTAATATGTCTACATGCTTTAATGTTCAAAAAGCTCTTTATTTTTCTCATACGCTGCAGCACCTCTTTTCACCCTCTGTCTGAAACCAGAGCCCAGTCTGCTCTGATTGGTTAGCTGGCCGGCTCAGTTGTGATTGGTCAACCGCTTAGAGATGCCAATAGAAGCTAGAGTGTTACATAGTAATGTCATTATCTTACGGCAGTAAACAAAGGAGTCGTATCGATTGGTTTCAGGCAGGGGGGGAGAGAGAAAATCCCTCTGGAAGACAATTTGTGATTTCAGCCTTTGCAGACCATTTACATGCACAGAAACCTGTACACTAAAAGAAAGGGAAACCCACCAAAAACACAAAAGGGCCTCTTTAGTACGGGATTACGTAACTAATAAGCCAAACTTGACTTCAGGTTTCACATGGGACACAAACAGCTGTCTCCAGGGTGAAGATCTGGTGTCATTGGTCCAAAACATCGACTGTAAGCAAAACATTTTTACAAAAGTACAAAAGACATCTGCCACTTCTTACAGACAAGCATTGCATAAATGACTAGCAGTCCAGCACAAAGCCACGATCAACAACCTCAGGCTATACAACAACAGAACAAGAGCAGCATACACATGCAGTTAGACAAACAAGCTAGAAAACAAAATATGCAGTAAGCAGCAGGCTGGCTCAGTTTAGTCCGGCTCAGCATTTTGTTTTGGTACTTTTATTCATTGTTATAAAAGCTACACCTCCAGCAGAAAGCCTGTGAATCTGAAAAGATGAAAAATCTGATGGATTCACCGACGGCAGCCAACCTCACTGGCGCTCGTCCACCTCTTTGTCACCCCAAATAATTTGAGTAATAAAATCAATACCAATAAATGACATATTATTCAATAACGAGGGCCAAACTTAACATTACGGAGACATAAATTGTGATCAAAGAGATGAGAAATTATGATTTTTATGTAAGATTATTGCAGTAAATGTATGCGGTGGACTTTCAAATTATAAGATCACTGTGAAAAATAATGGTTTTATATGGTTGCATGCAGTAAAAAGAGACAGTGTGTTGCCAAAGAAATGTGGTAGAATATGTGCTTAAATGTGCTGATCCTAGGAAGCCCATAACTGTGAGGAATATTGGAGTGGGTTGGCGCACAATAACTTACACTGGAGCATTACATTAGATAAATGTCATGTATCCTCAGTAAGCTTGTCATAATGTTAAAGGATAATACCACTGTCATTTTTATTTGTATTCCTGACTTGAAAATGTCTTCCCCGGCCGTCAGATATCACTACTGTCTGTATTTCCCGACTTTAAATCATCAGCTCCCACTCTCCAAAATGTCATTACAGCCAGCCTGCCAAGTCACAATACTGCAATGACGAATTTAATCCATCATGTATTTTATTTTTTATTTGTTACCAGCATGACTTTATAATGCAATCATTGCATCTGCTGCTGTATCAGGAGCTGCTCCATACTCAGCATTAAAAAAAAGATTCATATGAGAATGTACATCTGCGGTAACTGCAACCGGCGCTTAATTAAGAAAAGTGTAATATCACAATAGGAGATGCCAAACTTGTAGACTGGTCGTATATTTCCCAGAGCTTTCTCCATGGTGACACATTTAGAATGGAATGAGAGCCACTTAAGATGTGAGGGGGGGGAAGTGTGATATCGCAGCGTAAGTCTTTCAGAAGGGTTTTCTTAGTATAGCAGGATTTGAGGAAAGTCACAGTGAGTTCAAATAAAACTCCTACTGTTATATCCTATTTTAGATGTGTTACTCTCTGGAAAAGACAATGCTAGTAATTAAGCATTGTGCACAAACATGGCAATTTAACTTGTTCCCTTCTAAGTTTCCTCACTTTTTCAACTGCATTGTGTTGTTACCTTCTGATAATAACTGAGTTGAAAGCAAAAGTTAACTTTCTTTTGGAAAAACATTTGAACAAATGCAGCTTCAGTGTTTGTGGTGTTGTACTCAAATAATGGGTATATGATTCAATACAAATGTCAATTCAGCTTTTTGTTTGTGCAAGATGTTTTTAATGGGATTTTTTAAAAGAATGGGAGCCGATGACTTCTAGTTGCTGGTCAAACAGCTTAGGGATTTTTAACTATTTTGAATACATCACCCGGTTCACACATACAAAATATAATTACAGTAGTATTATCATGAGCTCGAGAATCATTTTTCTCATACACAATCCAAAGGCAAATGTCACACCTATCACTGAAAACAACATGTGCTTATTTAAGATAAGGATGCCAAAACACTGTATGTCAGTATTTTCCTGAAATTACTTTTTAATTACAATAATAAAAGATATTCACTTTATGTCAAATTTTTAGTTTTGTGTTTTTACCACAATGCAGCAAAACATAAGGGCTGGATATTCTTTATTCAGTGAAGTACCAGTACAGGGTTAACAAGAAACAGTCCTGTGTTCAAGTAGAGGTTAAACACACAAAATGTACTTTAAATACAGAAAGTAAAGTAAAGATACAATGTCAAAATGGTATATGTTATATAAAGCATGCATTAATGTGTACATAACACTAATGCAGCTTGAATAAGTGTTGGCCAATTTGAATTGCTTCATCACATTACATGTTACTTGTTAGACGCTTTTATCTAAAGCGACTTACATACTCAATACTGTGGACAATCCCCACAGGAGCAATTTGGGGTGAAGTGTCTTCCCCAGGGACACAACGACATGCTGACTGCAGGGGGGTTTGAACCTATGATCCTCTGATTCGAACACCTGCGCACAACTCACTGTGCCAAACGCCGCCCATATGCTGCTGGGTAGCTTAACACATGTATTAACATAATATATCAGTGGATTTACATGTTGCCTTATTAATGTAAATCTGCAAATTAACTAGTGCCAAAAGTAATTTAGATGTGGAGTACAAAGTATAAAAATGGCCTCTGAAATTAAGTGGAGTAGACAAAATTAAAGTAACTTACAACAGAAAAATGAAGGTATGGTACTTCAAAATTGTACACAAAACTGGGGTAAATGTTCCTAGTAACAGTACTGAGGGAGTTTGTATCATTTTAAGTCCCAGATTTTTGATACTTCCCAGACTTTTCCCAGCATTTTTTAGACAACTGTTCATGAGAAGAAACAGATTTGCACAACTGATCTCTTTTTCTGTGTCTCTATCTTTCTTCTCTCCATCCCTTCATTTTCTTCCCCCTCCATTTTCTCTCCAGACGCTGCAGATGGGAATAAAGCATTTCTCCGGTCTGTTTGTGATGCTCTGTGTGGGCGTGGTCTTGTCTCTTGTGACCACAGTAGCAGAACACATTGTGTACAAGCTGGTGATCCCGAGGGTCAAGGAGCCACGCTTCAGATACTGGCTGCACACGAGCCAGGTACTGAACACACACACACATACACACATTTAGAACAAAGTGAAGCACCCTTTGGATCATTACTAAGTAAATAACCACTCCACAATCACCATGAGTCTGATTATTTAAGTGAGTGAGTGGAAGTAGCCGTAATAGAATGTCAATGTACTCCACTTTTCTACTTTTGCACACACACTGCATGTCATATGCCAATTAAACATCAGAATAATAGCTGATGTGTTTCTTGTTTTCCAGAGATTACACCGAGCCCTTAACTCCGTCTTCAACGATGACAAACTGCAGACTGTAACCAAGCCTGATAAGAGGTACTGTCCCCGCCATTGCAGGAATCAATACAATTTCATTTTTATCAAATAAATCCAGCAGACAAGTACATTACTCTAATATATTCATGCCTTATGTAATGTTTTTTTTAAATAATTTGATTTGAGGTCAATCATATTCCTAAGGGATTGAACTGAATATGAACCAAGCCCAGTTTCGATGCTATCTTTTATGACCCATTTAGTGCACTTTCTTTTGACTTGGGACAGGCGTGCCACTAGCTTAACACAGCTCTAAAATGTTAAGAATCCTATCAAGTAAAATGTTACATTTACATGTCTTCTAGTTGCTTTATAAAGACTCAAATGAAAATGCACACAGAAACCATTCCTTTCAATGAGCCATCATGCCTTCCTAAAGTTAATGTCACAATTGCACACTTATAGGTAAATAGTGGTGCAGCAATGTTGTAACAGGACAGCCAGAAAACCCGAAAACACTGACCAATCACAGCAAGCTGAATGTGTTATTAAGGGTCTTAAAGAGACAGGCACTAAAACAAAGCAATTCAGTCAGAGGGGTAATACAGGTATATTCCTACATACAGTTTGAGAAAAATAATGTGTTTTTTTTAACATTAAAGCATGGAAATATGTTCTAGTAGAAACCCAAAGTACAAATAGGGACCTGAAAATTAGCATAATATGTCCCCTTTAAGTAATGCTTTGTAATGAGTTCATCCATTACTGTTGGTAATTACAGTGGATAGCTCCAATGTTTCCAAAAATGCCATTAAACCACTGCAGAAGAGGACACAAAACGTGGTTAAAATTATAGAAACGTAGCAAATAACAGCATGACAAAATCACTAGAGTGATAGAGAAGTACCTGTGTATCGTATTGAAATCCCTTTCCATCCCGGTTTTTACTCAAATAAAAATTGCTTGATTACACAAACACACATGTTTTAGTGTGCATTTGTACTCATACAGAGTTTTATCAGGCCACTGCACCCTCAACCAAATGCAATTTATTTTCCCTCCATCTCACATCTTATAATACCATAACAGAACTGCAATACAAACAAGACAAAAAGAAGATTTAAGGAAGATGCAAGGCTAAAATCTAGGGTATCATTAAACACATCACATTACATATGTGCCCATAATCACTCAAAATAAAAAATAAAATGTCTAGCAGGAAGCCAATTTTCCAAACTTAGACAGCCCAATGGCCAAATTATCCGGCTGCGAATAAGTGACATCAATTAACATCCAAGTGGCAGTGAAGGGACCCGTTTAATCAGGAACTAAATAGAATGGTCAGTCTGTTGGAAGCTAATTATCAGTAAGGGAAATTGAGGAAATAATCTCATGCTGACGTAGCGGCGTATTGTTTGGCTGAGTGGGTGACAGAGAGAGATTTAGTAAATCATGAAAGCTCCTTTTGGGTCCGTTTCTTTTCAAACGTTGCAAATGGGTGCACTTTATTACGGTTTATGTAACTAATCTGGACCGTCATTTTGATATCAATACAGTGTCTGTCATAAGATGATCCCCTTTTATTCACATTTGGTCGCTTCTGCCATTGCCAAGTAGCGCTTTGCTATCCTACAGCAAGCAAAGTGGGACATGTATTACTCTTTTTATGGTCTCTAAGGGGAGATCAAAACAACCCTCAAGCTTTTGCCGGGCAAAAGAGTTCCATTTCATCTTCCTCTATTTAAATTCTGCTTTACACCTTTCCCTACTTAACACCATCGCTGAGGGGACACTCAGGTGGAGCACTCAAAGTGGGGATTAAATACACGTAATAATTATGGAGCCAAGGCTGTGTGAGGGATGCCGGTGGTAATGAGGATAGATTACCTACGGCTGCATGATTTAGCTCATTCAATCACGCTCTTCTGCCTCGTGCCTGCACGCTGTCTACAAGTCAGAAATTATTACCGTCATGTTGCCGGTGTCCCATAGAAACCTGGTGTGTCTGTTTTGCAAACATTGAACAGAAATAGGATAATCTCTCCATTCATATGATGATATTTAGTGATCTTAATAGCTCCAGCTTGAGGTCTGTTACCAGAAAAAACATGTGGTGCATAAACACCTGTTTTATCAGCATTATAACAAAGATCCACTCTTCAACCAAATGGTGCATTTGGGTAAAAATGTAATTGGTCGAAAAATACTTCTTAGGATAGGGCTTAACATATTTTATTCCTTAATGTTTCAACAAAGATGGCAGAGAAAAAAAGAGATTAGGGAAGTCTGAAAGAGTCCAATGTCAAATTAGGATTTTGTGATTTAGTACCAAACGCAGTGTTCAGGTCATGTAGATCCGACAAGGACCTTTTTTACTCACGCTAAGAAAATATCATATGTCACTATTAGTACATCAGTTACAATTCAACTCTTTGATGGAGGGATTACATGCGATAGGATCATTGCTTCCCCTGTTTATACTTCTTTAAAAGTACTATTAAATTAGCATTTTCTACATTGCTTTGAAACCTAGTTTTTAACCCAAATGTTTTTGAGTTATCGATCATTCCGTCCCATTCTCGTAAACGCAGGATGAAAGGAAAGCCTAGAGTCATTTTCAGAAATGTTGCACAAACATCACTTTGTTACTTGAGTTTGGTTTTGAAAGATCAGAGCTCAACATCACTTTGTCCTAACAAAACAAGTTTCTGGCCATAATGCGAGAATTCATACACTTATCATGACAGAATTTCACACAAAGGCCTAAGGATGAAATGATGGAGTAATGGCATTTTATATTCAAAAGGTCAACTGCACTGTGACTTCAAAATGGTCTGCAGAAACCTTTTTAATAAGCCGGGAATAGAAGGGGAGAATGTGACTTTATTCTACATTCAGATGGATACTGAATTGGTGAAACTAATCGTGGGTGCCTGCTCTGAAATTGAGGGGATTGTACTTTATATATCTTCTTTGCTGCAGGGGTTGAGATGTGTGTAAAACCTCCACTTTTTGGAATGTGCAGCTTGCTTGCAGTGACATTCATAGAGTACAGTCATGGCTACAACTTTGAGTTGTTGTTAGTGTTCCTTATTGCCTTTATAATTAAAAAATATCTCACATCTTCAATCCTTTTTTAATATTGGTCTCCATTTTGCGCAACAGTCCAGCTGTGTTTCATTCATTGTTTAGAATATCTAAAGTATGCAATGTCTAGTTAACACTTTGTATTGAGCTTTTAATGACTCACCTATGAGTGTACATACAATTCCCTCAAGAGTTCAATTTCAGGGCAACGAGAGGGACTCTGCAGAGTTGAAATAATTGGGCCGGCTTTGTTCTCTCCTGTCTCTCCTGCTGTGTTAGCACACCATCACAATTATTTGAAAGGCATCAGAAAAGAAAAGATAAGTATAACAGTTTACTTCAAGAACACAAAATTCTACATTGTTTTCACCCTGCGCAAGGCGGTCAAGAGGTCATTTACAGCTGTATGACCTTCTTGTTAGGATTAAATATCTTGCTCAAGGTCACTCCAGCAGGGGACTTGTCTAATGTGTCCTGCTTGTTGAAGGACTCCCTATTCACTGAGCTACAAGCTGACGCACATCTGTACTGACAGATGGGTGGGGAAAAAGAAATCAGTGGTGAAGTATTTAGTTCCTAGAGAACTGCTGCAGGGAAACACGAGCTGTGATTCTCATAAGTCGCACTGATGAACAGGAGACATAATAGTATTTGGAAGTAGCCTTGGATTCTGTATTGGTGTCTGTTGATCTACAGTAGGTTGCGACATTATTTGTGAAACCACTGCTGATGGAGAAAAATCCATATTTATGAAATTGTAAACGAAGAACTGGAGATAATTGAATGCGAGGAATCTGGTGAAGTTGCAAAGTGGATGTAGGCGGGAGCAGATATCTCTGAAAATGATGTGGACGATAGTGCAAACTGTATATTCTTTTTGTATTTTGTAAGGAAAGACTTGAGAATATTTGCAGTTCTCCAGCAGATGTGAAAGCAACATGATATCCCGGTAAATGATAAGGTAGAACTATGCTGACTTGCAGCTGTGTATAGGCGCTCTGGCATCTTCACATACATAATGTAAAACCAAGGACCCTGTTTGTTTCCGACTGAGAAAAGTAGACGCCCTCTGATGTGAGTGAGAGGAACACTATAATGAGCTTTACGTTTAAAAACTTATTTTCCCCACCATCTAGGTGAATAATGATGTAAAAGACATGAAAACACTGCAGAAAGAAATAACGATTTGTATTTCAGCGTGCTTTTCATCTTTTAAACACTTTGCAAGTTGCACGGCACTTTCTGACCTTGACATCATTATTTCTTCTGGGAATCTCTAACAGGGAACAAAGAAAGAGTCTGTGTTTTCATAGTATATTATATAGTCAGTCAAAATCATCACGTCCATTCACATAATGAAAGTTGAACACGCTCCTATTCCATATGGGAGTGAGGCAAGGACTCCTACAGTAAATGCTAAATAAATCAACTCAGAGGCTGGGTGAATAAGAATGATCTATATTTGCATCACGTTTTGAGAACAGCGACAAAGTGCTTTCAATATGAATGATAAAAAGACAAAAGCTTATCAATCAATAGAAGTCAAAACAAGCCATGCAAAGGTATAAGAGGTCGGGATGAGGTATTTCATGATAAAAGCATGACGGAGTGTCTCTAAAGGTGACTTCCAAGCAGTTATCTTAAAGTCTGACGTGTCCACTCTCATTGAGAACTAATAGCACAAAAGCTAACTGAAAAAACAACTGTTTCTGTCTAAACGTTTGAACGCCAACAAGGGACCTGCTGTTTTATTTCATGCCATCAAGTTCATACACTTACACCCTCACGTAATGCTTCTTAAGAATCTGAAATTGGGGTGATTATCTTGAGACTCTAGGCTAAAGCAATTTGATAAGTTGTACCTCATTGCAAAAGGATTCTCTCTTTCTTTGCAGCCGTGATGTAAGCACAGGTTTGCCTTCTTGTCAAAAGTTGCAAACATCATTTTTAAGATAAGGTTCTTTTCATGTTCCTCTTCTCTGGCGCCTCATCATTCAGGTGTCTTTTGATGTCAAAGAGTATCTCATTAGATTCTTCTTGTCGCTTTTTTATCGCTATGGAAAGCTCCTTTGATTCAGAGAGTTGAGGGGAGTCTTTTTCTGCGTCTCTCAAAATGAAATCAAGGTTATTTCTCACCTTCATACCTGCTTCAATGGATATTAAAAAAAAGTCAGAACTACCTTATATATGACTGCAGGAAAAAATATGTGTGTTGCTTTATGTAATAATTTGGGAGATCCAGAGGCTTTAAAATGTTTCTGTTCATATTGTACAATCAGTGTACCATTTAAACCCAATAGTAATCTACCATTTTTCTCAAAAAGCAACGTTTGAATGAGAACTCAGGATGTTGAACTTACTCACCACTTACCAGCCAAAACACCCCATAATGTTATTTTAATAAAGCACTAGTCTGCAAGAAATACCATACAGTTCATTATGTTTAAGTCTGACTGTGTCTGAATGTAAAATGGGGTTTTCTCTGGAGCTACTGAGATACGGTAGGTCTAACTATGCTAGACTTAATGTGCTAACCAACAGATACATATTTCAATTATAACTATATATTTGGAATCAAGTATCTGGATAAAGACTGAGGCTGCCTCCAGGAAAAACATTTCCATGGTTTTGAGAAGCAAGGACACTCTCTGGTATTTTCACTAAACTCAACACCAGCCTTCTGTTACATCCAATCATGTATTGCAGATGTCACTTTATTTCTGCTTTCTTCCTATCAAGTTCTGATGCTGTGTAGAAGAAATAAAATAGAAGCTTTGGGCAAAAGTTGAAAGTGACTCGATGTGACAGGAGTTTCTTATGGTCAGTGCAATCAAAGGTATTGATGTGACCAAGGACGACAATGTCAGGCTTTTTTTTTTAAGTTTGTGTAACTTCTAAGCTCCTATCTATTTTATTTTACACATACACTTTCTTTGTAAATAAAACCTAGTTATGCAGGGTGATTGAGTTGAAAAGACGGCTAGGCAAGGGCTGTTAAATGGAAAATGATGGATCAATCTGTTGGTCCATTCCTACCTTGCACGAGCACGAAGAGAAAACATGACAGTTTGAGGGAATTTGCAAGCGGGAATACAACATTATATTATTGATATTGTGACTGACACCTCACTCCTCCAACTCACGATGCTGCTGCTGGTGCTCATTAGGGTTAAAGATGAGGGTAGACCTCCAGGATGGATGGGAGAGGTCGGCCGGGGTCAGTGTGAGTCCAGGAGGATATTAATTGGACATGAATTCGTCCAGTAAGCCTTGTCATTCAAGGTCTACTTATTTGATCTTGAAAACCAACATGTTTTGGGGGGATATTCATCATTGCTATTCATCAATGCTTGTGACATTATTAAGACTTAATACAGGCTTCAGTTCATGCATGACTGCTCAGCATTACAATCATCAGTTTCACAATGTTTATTGGAAGCCATTATAGTTGAGCTAGACAAATTATATTTTCTGGCCAAAATATTGGTAATGTGATCATTAGAGATGTCCCGATCCGATCACGTGATCGGGGATCGGAGCCGATCACATGATTTTCAAAAAATCGGGGATCGTGATTTTTTTTTTTTTCTTTTTTTTATAAAATATTTTTATTATTTTATTTAATGTTACAAAACAAAAATGACCATGTTCACGTCTTAAAGTCATCCTGAGGCCTTAGTTTTGGTTTAAAATTACACAACATCATGTATGTGTTGCTTCTTTTGGGCTTGTTTTCATAGACCTGGTTGCTTATTTCTCTCAAATCTGGCAACAGAGTGGGCGCAGTGTCTAATAGTAGCAGTAAGCTAACAAGAGGCTACGTTCAGCTGGTGCCTCGGGAGTCGGGACAGAGAAAATGTCAGGAGTTTGGAAGTATTATAAAATTGAAAGCGAAGGCAGTGTAACAGCCAGATGCAATGTTTGCAAGGCGGAGGTTCCGCGTGGTGGAAAGAACAGAGCTACGTTCAACACGACCAATCTAATACGCCACCTGAGAAACAAACACCAACAACAACACGACGAGTACACAGCGGCCACTCAGGTAACGGCACTGAAACAACCGACACTTTCAGAGACTTTTAAAAGGAAAGAGAAACTGCCCCAGAACAGTGAAAAGGCCAAAAAAATAACAGCCAAGATAGCTGAATTCATCGCGTTGGATGACCAGCCGTTATCTGTTACCTTTTTTTTCTCTTAATGCATTGCATAAAGATCGGATCGGGAAAAATCGGTATCGGCAGATTGTCAAAATCAAATGATCGGAATCGGATCGGGAGCAAAAAAAGGTGATCGGGACATCCCTAATGATCATTAGGGCAAGCTAGTCTGAGCACAATAAATGAAGATGTGCAGCTTAATGTCATTATGGGGTCAATCAAATGATTGGACGACAAAATCCCCACAAAATCTACTATCATATATTATAATAAGGGGAGAATCAATCATGTAACCTATTCAGACGATATTTGCCAGAAAAGCATAGACTTTTAAAACAAGTTTAAGAGGCTAAAGCTAGCTGCTCCATGAGGCTACAGTAATGCTTTGAGTTAAATGCTAACATCACCTGATATTTCTTTATGTATCCGTCCTATCTCCAGGTGCAATGAGGGAAACAACCAGTCAGCATGTTGGAATCCTTCAGAGTCGTCCCACTGCAACAGGCGTAGGGTCCTTCCTCAAGAGATGCAGAATGACCTGGAACGCCCAACCTCCCAGGAGCTCCCTGGACCACCACCCCCATCCCCTCAGTCTCATCCACATACTTTCCCCCTACTGAAGAAGCACCTACCCATAGTGACCAACACTAACGGTCGCTCTGACCTGCTGGGGCGGGGGTTGGGCCAAGGACTTGGGCCAGGGCAGGGTGGCTCCGGGCAGGGGACGACCTCGGGCCCATGCCGGGCTCTGGGTGTGGGCGACTGCGGCCCCGGGCTGGGTGTGGGCAGGAAGCCGCTGGTTCAGGAGCTGTCAGAACTTGAGGGTCAAATCCTCGTTATCAAGCAGCAGCTGCAGACAGCAATGAGAAGGAAGCGAGAGCTAGAACAGTACCAATCAGATAACCAGCAAGCAAACCAGACTTCACACAGTCAGCCCACTACTCACCAGTCTAACCAGTTTGCTCAGTACACCCAGCCCCACCAGCAGACTAACCAACACACAAACACACTACCCGAGTTCTGAAAATGTTCTCCTTTGTTCTGCCTAGACAAATGTGATGAGACATGGGACAAGTTTCCTAAAAGGTTATGGAAAAGGATCCTTTTATGAGTTTTGGAGATGGAACCTTAACCTTCTGGAAGTTGAATCAGGAGTTCCCCTGATTGCCCAACTGAAACGTTCTCCAGGGACCCTGCTCTGTCACTCCAGTGGAACATTCCCTGACTTCTGGAACGTGTGATTCACTAATACGACAGCCATTGGACAAAGGTGAACCAGGGACCAAATCTGTCCTCACTAGCGTGTTGCTGTCACTGAAAAGCTGGCCAAAGTTTCCTCTTCGTTACCCTCGCATTCCCCATTTTTTGTACACCTCACTGATCCCTTCATTTTTTTCCTTTGACTTCCATTCCTAATGCCCTCTACTTCGTCCTTCTCATCCCTTTCCTCTAAGCCTTGTCTCTTCAAGGGTAAGAGATCTGCTTGCAATGACGATAAGCTTGATCACAGATATGAAGACCGGTATTTAAGCTTAATGGGCTAATTCACCTGAGTCTTATGCTGAGACTTATTGAGAGTGTAAATGACCTGAAGTTGAACCTATACAGTTAAATCGTTATGGCCTTGCGCTGAAACCTTGTACCTTTGAGGAGGAAAGAAAAGAAATACAATTGCTGGTGATTGATGTATCGGTTGATTTGATTGACGACCTAATGATTCTTGCTTATGACAATGCAGCTTAGGTCATTTCTTTCTCGTGCCACTTTTTGAGGGTCGTTGGGGCATTTGCTCAGAACAAGGAATCAAAATTCACAAAGAAACGTCATTATTCATCAAGAACATCTGGATGGCATCTTGTTTTGTGGATCACTATGTATGTTGTCCTGCACTTCACTGATGCACTTCTAGTTTTTAAAAGAAAGCTGCACCTGTGAGTCATCATTTAACTTGTCAGATTTTGATTTGTGGTCTGGATGGTTTTTGTCTTCAAAGGTTTCAGTGTTATAAACACAGGATGGGAAAAAGTATTACAATCTGTTGTAATAAATCCAAGAGTCTTTTCAATCAGGGATCCAAAAACAGGACATTTTTACCCACCATCTTGAAATCATACCGGTGCTCTCGCAATCTCTACCATTAGAACCACCAGAACTACTATTTTGTTTTTGGTGAAATCACAATGTTGATTAGTGAAAGTAACATAAACATGGACCACTGGTCAAACTCTGACATCTTATTTGAATATGATGATCACTCATAACCGAACACGATGAAACAGTCTCACTGAATTTTCTTGCATCTTTTCAGTTTGAGTTTGTGTGTGTCCAATTATTAAAAAACATACCTCTCTTCTTTGCACTTAATTGAATTGAAGCATTTTCTTTTTCTTATGTCATTACGTGTCAAAATACAACTTAAAGAAGATCAAAGAAAGCAGAGTGTAGGAGGATAGTGAGGCTTTTAGCCTTGTGCATACTTTAGTTAAATTAGTTTTGACTTATCTTTGCTTCCATAACCTTGGAACTGGTAAGAATCTTCTCCTTTCAGTTCTCTTAAAACCTGATTTCAAAAGAAAATTATATTCTTTTTTTTACTGACTTGAGGGATGTGCTTTCACGCAGAGGTAAATAGTTTTCAGCTCATTACATCCAGGGTACACCAGTCAAACAGTGCATTAAGGATTTTCTTACTGGAATATATTACATTTTTAAAGTTGGCCATTGAGATTCAACTGCAGTAACTAATTCCTTCAGATTTAAATAGATCCCAATATATTTTTTAAAAACACCCTGAAGCTACAAAAAAAACCCAGTGAGAGTTTATTTTTTCCTGCATTGACATGATATTTGGTTGATGCACTATTCTTCATTCATATTGCTAGGGGACAACCATTTGGGCAGGAAAGCGTACTCAGAAGAGCCAAGGATGACATTTTATAAACACACGGCATGGTCAAATTCTGCCAAACACACACACACACACAAACAAACACACACAAAATCCCTATCTATTTAGCCAGTGTGTCTGCAGGGTAAGCGCAGGCTGTCACAGCTGAAATGAATACCTGACAGAGCAAAAGAGCAAGTGCACTGGCTGAGCCGTCAACTCTCTTTGTGTTTGTGTGTTTGCCTTGCTTGGCGGTGACATAAACATCACAGCACGAGTAACAGGATGAATCAACAGAAAATAAGATCACGGTTTTAGCGTATCTATGCTCATTCTAGCATGTGTGGTTGGACAGTAGGGTTGTATGAAGAGGAAATGCCTACCTCATTGAATATACAACTCAACACACGACAGAAAAATGGGTCATATTGACTTTTTGGGGGTCTGCCTGAACATATGTTTGCTAATCCATTTCTTCTCATTTGTTCTCAGAGGCAATAACAGGAGGTAATCAGGCTTTCTGTTCACATTACACGCATTAGCATTTGTTAATACACAAAATAAATGTCAGTTTGGTTTTTTTGTTCAAAGATAACCCTGAAGGTGTTCTGGTCCTCCCAGAAACTTTCATTATCATCGCATCATGCTTGAGTACATATTTGAAGAACATTTAAAGGTCTCCTATTATACTCTTTTTCATCAATATATTATAGGTCTCTGAAGTGTTTGGTTCAAAATACCAAATAGATCATGCATTGTAGCATCCCATAATCCCCTCTGTTTCAGCCCTGTTTCAAAAGTGCTGATTCTCGGACTTTTACTTTAGATGAAAATAAGGAGCCATTCCCCACGCCCCTCTGTGAGATATTTGGTTAAAAAGAACACAATAGCCGCTTTCACACCAAGTACTTTGCCGTACTTAGTTCCCAGCACTTAGTTCCCCCATGGAACTAAGAGCCGATCGCGTTCACACCGGAATAAGTTCCCTGAGGGAAGATTGCGCAAATGAAGCCGCTGACGTCACTTCTTCTTCTTCTGCTTTGGGTTTACTGGCAGGCCGCAAACAACTTACTTCACGGTGTATACTGCCACCCGAAGTCCCCGGCTGGAAGTTGGGGACTGGCTTCAGTAGAAGCTGCTGGGACTCCCAGCAGCTTCTACTGAAGCCTTCCGAGTAAATCGCCAGAACGCCGACACCTCCTCATCTCCACCGCTCCCATGTTTTCTTTTGTGTTGCCATAAGTTAGTCTCTCTCCGTTGGTGCGCGGGGCTAATGCTAATGCTAATAATGCTAATGCCAGCAAATACAATGGCGGCTTCAAAAAACTTTTCAGAGTTTTACGGGGCATGGTTTGCAATTCGCCCAGCCAATCAGAAATTGGTACTTTTTTCTCACCAGGATAGTCCCACCTCTCTAGCAGGCACTACAAATTGGGGTATAAGTAAGTGCTCTTTTTGGTATGAACGCAAAATTCCAGGCACTAACGGAACTAAACGGGAAAAGTATGGGTAAAAGTACTCCGGTGTGAAAGCGCCTATTGGTGCTCTTGGAGGAGATTCAGGTGATAAGGTGGTGGGGGGGGGGGGGGGGGGGGGGGGGGGGGGGGGGGGGGGGGGGGGGGGGATGGGGGGTTACCTTGGTTGGTTATTGGCTAATGGTTACACAAGCCAAAAAAATAGGCATGACATCATAAAGTGGCCAAAATCTGATCAGCTCATTTTCAGACAGGTTTTTAAATAAATGGATCAGGACAAAAAGTGTGCGAATCTTTTTTCCTGAAACTTTCAGAATCTCTTTACAAAGAGGGGACACAAAAAAGTGGATTTTGCAATAGGTGACCTTTAAAGGAAGGTATTTTTTCCACTGAACCGAGCCCTTAGGAAACATCTATCGCTCAACTGTGTACTTCCAACTGCACCCTATAAATGTACCATCCTGCAAATATTCCCTCTGTGTACCATTTATTCTATCGAAACAATTCGACTTTACTCCCATTCACTTCTATTGAAACCATTGATGGCTTTACTCCAATTCAATTGAATTAACCCACGACCGTCAACCGTTGAGCAATTGACCCTGAACCCTGTGTATCAGTGTTTTTGTGTGTGTCATCCCTAAGTATAGTACAATATTACTACGAAAACCAGAAACTTGTTACAGATTCAAGACAATTTTGTTCAGCAAAATGTGATAGTATGTTAATGTTAACACACCTTTAGGCTGTTGATGTAGATGACACATGGTTTGAGGTTAGGTTGGATTTGTATTCAGCAGAATAATTATGGTTGGGCTGTCTGCGCACACAACTCAGGGCACACAAAATGGAGGTAAAGGAAATAAGTATCTAATACATATTCAAACAAACACAAGGGCAGACATGATTTCCATGTCCTGCTCTCTGCCCTATTCATTTTGTATTTCAGTTTGAAATTAAAATTGGAGAGGACTGAAGCTGTTGTTTATAACCCACTATCAGCCGTGTCCTCGCCCACAATGTTTTATAGGATAAACAAAGTTACCACTTTCCTTCCAGCACACAAAATGAATAAAGACACAAGAGAACACATTGTTGCTACTGACTATTTAATTTGTGGACAAACCAAGAAAAAAAAAAATATATGTTGCATTTCAAATGAAACGCTTTTTTTGTTCTGAAAGTAAAAAGACATTGATAATCACAATGATAATGAGCATAATTGAAATCATGAATATCTATAAAACATCTTGACTTCTCTCGTCATGCTGGGCGTATCTTCCAATGGGAAATGGAGTCACAACATTGCATCACAATCCACTGGTGGGTTGGGGGGTGGGGGGGGGGGGGGGTGGCGGGGTGCCTCGAGGAGGAAAAGTGAAGCAGGAGTCATTAGCCTGGTTTCCATTAAAAGGGCTAGCCGGGCCTCGAGTAAATCACTCTGATTTACTCCAAAGAGCACTTCTGTCTCTTTTCCTTTTTTCATGTATTTTACAAGGATGTATTTCACTGGGATTTGAGTTTAAAGTTATTCATACAGTCATACCAGAGACGTCTTCAGTTAGATCTGGCACAGGCTAGCCCCACTGGACCTCTTCATAGAAAGAAAATCTTATCAACATCACAGTGAATCAGGAAATTGGGGTGAAACGCACTCATAATGAGCATTTCAACCAATCATATATCATTGTGGCTGATGGCATGACACTTTAAGTGCCAAACCCCATTTACTGACTCTAAGGATGTCGCTGACTCTTCCTTGTCGCTTCCTCCAACAGGGAGAGGTAACGCTCCCCATAACACCTAAACTGATACCAAAACATATCCAGGTTTACACAGCAGGCAAACAGGTCCAAATGGATCATAATAATCATACAGATTGACAAAAATCTTTACAAAATATGACCTGACACGGTCAGTTAATGTACAGAGAGAGATAATAAAAAGAAGGATTCTGTCTTTTTTTCCTGTACAAATGACAAACATCACAGAACAACAACATCAATATTTTTTTCCATAGCACATTTTTTCAGACTGAGGGGGAATAGATGTGGCGATCGACGAGGCAAGTCACCTGACAGGATGTGATGTAAAACAGAGTGAGTTAGCCAACAGGAAGTGCGCAGGTTTAACACCGTCAGGATAGGCTACAGCACTCGCTCATACAAAATGTACAAAACACCGTCCTCTAACTACAAACAGCACACCTTGGAGGGAAAAAAACGTCTGATGTTTCAAATAGTTTCAATATCTGGAACAAAAATCTGTGCTTAAGTTTGCTTTGTGATATTTTTGATGCAATGGATGTGCCTTGGCAGGTAGAATTGAGCATAGCCCAACTTAATAAGAACCATTAGAAACATGGTGCATTTAGTCCCTCAGGTGATTTAAACAGATATATCAGCAGTGTTTTTTTATTAAGCATTCGGAGCCACGTGGCATGCGTCCTCGTCATTGTGTCTGGAAGTGCTGTGGAGACGCAAACGTGACCCGGTGCTGCCCCCTTAGTCATGTGACCTCCGTCATCGATGCTGAGTGGTTCTAAAAACGGACGTGGAAGAATGGAGGAATGGAGAAAAAGAATAGGGATTGACAGAGATGAGAAGGAAAAGAAAAGAGGAAAGGAGAAGGAAACGGTGAGGAAATAAGGAGAAAGAGGGAAATCATTGTCCAACAGTATCAGGAGTGCTCTGTGTGTCTTTCTGTGCATTTGGAATGGAGGCAGGGGTGTAGTGCAAAATGTCATGCTTGTATTTTCTTCTCAACATGTGTCACTGCTTTGTATGGAAAGAAAGTAAGAAAGAAGGAAAGAAAGTAAGAAAGAAGGAAAGAAAGAAAAAAGACAGAAAGATAGAAAGAAAGAAAAAACACATGGTGACTAAAAACCCCTCTTTAGCCGATTGAAAGTACATTACAGCAAATTAGAGAATGGCAAATTACAGTAGACTAATTTCCAAAGTTTTTTGTTTTGTTTTAAGCTTAAGTCTCGAGGGAGCTTTGCCAATTAATTGGGAAAGATAATGTGCATCATGGTGATAAAGTTTCTCGGAAATCCAGGTTAAGTGTTTTAAGGTACCTGTGCGCTGAGAGTCTCCAGAGGGCTCTCTACACGGGGGAAAGTCATCAGAGGCAGGCCACGGTAGTCTTCAGTTTTCTGTTTAGCCGCTGCACTGTGGACGCCTTTGAAGTTGTTCACAACACATATACCCTGTAAGGTATGAAGATAGTTCAACGTGAATAGCAAGGTAAGCTCACAAAAACACAGGTTTTAAATGTGGGAGTTTGATAAGTGAGAACTTTGTCAATGATTCAATACATTTCATCTCAAATATCAATGTAATATCATAATGTGTACCCAGGCTAGTTTGGTCAAATAAATCGTTGATGTCCATTCCATTCAAACTCAGAAACATAACTTGCTGGTGGCGTGAGAGGAAAAGTCAGGGGATCACTAAGGTCCGTCGGCTTCATTGAATTAGGAACATGAATGTCTGTACACAAATTCTCTAGAATGCATGGACATAGTTCAGTCAAGACAAAAGAGGTGGTCTGACATTGCCGTACCTGCTGCTAGCATTTCTTAAACTGCATGCTGTCCAACATTCTTACCAGCCTCTATAAGGAAATACAAGTGTGTGTGTATATACACCGGGCCCCTAATTAACATTTGTACTTCCTGTTATCAGTGTAATTCAACAGATAATACAGTGTTGCCATGAGACATCTGAATTAGACATGAGAGTCATACCATTGTTAAAAGGCAATGTCTCTTAGCATTAACAAATTAAATAATATCATCTTGATTACCTTTAATCAGAAGGGCCTGCCAGCTCTAGTGTCAGAATTAGGTTCCAAAAAGAATGAATTGAAAGCATTCATGAGTTGTTTTTTTTAAATTATGTGAACATGTCTTTTAGATGTAAAAGTTAACGCTGTAATAAAAAAGTTTAAAAGCTGTGTAAAAACTCAATGGAACATTGTATGAGTCTACAAAATGCAGCCATCCTTGGACAGCGACGCTCTGGGTTGTTGGCCTTTGTGGCATGGCACTACGCCCAGCAGGCACAGTGAACTGCCTTGTTTCTTCATTCATGTGTCATAGAATTCTTATAACTTACAGTTACTTGAGAGTTCTATGTCAGGTTCTTCTACCAGTACAGACATCACCAAGGTTACTATATTTCTGTACTCCTCCATGGACTGTTTAATCAAAGAAAGCAGCCTGAGGGGGAATCCCCCTCTCCCCAGGCCAACCATGCCCTCGGGCCGTGGCGAAGGAGAAAATGTAGCGGGGGGATTCAGCGCTAAAGGATGCTGAAGCTGTCTTCGTTCGTCACAGTTCATGGACAGTGCTTCTCTACTGAACCCAGACAAAATAAATGAATGACAACAGCTGGGCAAGAATCTAAGGAGATACTCAAGCATTACTGTTCCATCAAAAAAAAAACATTGATTCTTTCCTAAATGTCTGTCACAGGGAATCTAAGCAAACTGACTACCTGTTGTTTCCACAAAACTGTTTTCATCTTCCCTTGAACAAAACCTTTTAAGCTACAACCAATCTTCTCTTCAAATGCCCAACATGTTGGTTTCCCCCTGTCTTGTTTTACTTGGCTGAAACGCATCCCTGAAGACCAAGGACGACTGCTTTCTATCCATTTTTGTACTCTGCCATCCATGCTAAGACAATCTGGGCCAAGCTGCCATCTTTTGTCTCTTGTGAGCAAAATGTCATGTGGTTGTTGTTGTTGAATGTTGGAAAATCTCTTACCAAAGGATCTAATTATACCAAGGAAACTAGGTCCGGATTGATCTAATTCATTACCTACTGTATGTGTCTGGTTTTCAGATACGCATAGTGGACTCTCGTTCTATGTTCTTACATGAAATATCCATTACTTTTTATGGCAATTTTACATACCTTTTAATGGCTTGAATTTAAGGGTTTAGTTTGTAAGACATTTCAAATTCCAAAGGGCTTTGCTTTTAGCAGACATGGCAGGCAGTCAGCATATACCCATGAGTTGTCTTGGATCAAGTGGACACCTCTGTTTCCAACATTATTCTGAAGCTCCAGAAGCAGCAGCTTAACATTGATCCCTCAATCTCCTTGCAGGACAATGTTCTTGTAACACAAGGCAGCTGCTGTTTGAAGAGTCCATTTAGATCTCCTCACTGTCAGTACTGAACCACAGGGATTTGAGCTATATCTGCTTTCTTCTCTCTTTGTACTAATTAATTTTCCTCAAGATGGCAGTCCGTCATATCGCCTCAGTGTTCAGATGACAAGACCTTGATGAGCTTCATCAGAACCATTGGGGTCAGTGTGAAGTCAAAAGGCGGGCCTCTTCATTTGATTATAAGCTGGAAATGAACAGGTTCAAAACTGCTGAGGTGACGGTTGACTATCTCATCTCCGTCATTCCCTGGAGACAACTAACTCAATGTATGTCAATTTTTATGGATGAATCATTAAAAGAAAATATCCTTCATTAAAGAGCGGAGCCCTATGGCTCCTCCTCTTCAAGGTCCAAGGACTAGCTGCTTCAAGATGAACCAAGGCACATTGCTGGCTCTTAGCTGCCTTTGAAGGCGACAACACAACATTAACTAGTATGGTTTTCATTTTTCATTGTAACGCTCACCCTTGAAAAACCCCACAGAATTTCAACCACTCCTAGCCATCCCGTAGAGCTGTCTTGAATACTCACTACTTTGATTATTCCTAACCCTTATTCTACCACACATTTGGTTCACTAATCCTTTTTCACTACAAAGGTAATTGTTAACCCTAACCCTAACCCCAACCGTAAGTATTGGCAAAATGTTCAAAAAGATACAGCGATGTACAAGCAGGTCTAACAAGACATATGCAAATCATTGTCTTCTTGCTCAAGGTGCTAAGTAAGGCCAGTAGTAGTTCTCGCATATCACATAGGAAAGCCGAAGGATGTTATATATGACATGCTCATGAATTTTCATCCATAGATATGACTCTATCGGTGGCAATGTTGGTCTCTCAGTTTCTTGGCTAACCATTTTTTTTTCCATACTGAAATGCCTACAAATATTGATTGCATTCAAATTTGGTACCAACATTAAGGGTCTCCAGAGGATAGCGTATTGACTTCAGTGTTTCCTGAACTTCCGGCTTTCAAAATTATTGTAGTCTTTATTGAAAGCCAAAAGCCCTCAAAACCAGGAAGAACAATATATAACTTGTTATGGTAATGGTTTCAATAGGACAGATCACTGTTTCCCTACATCGTGAACACACCCACTATTTCAAACTAGTGTTTACCTCAACTTTCTTCTCACTCTGCCTTTAAATACTCTTCCTCGTTGATCTCAGCAGAAATCCAGGTGCCACCTCAGCTTTTTTCTGACTTTCTCTCTTCTCTTCCTTCCCCCAAATCAGCCAGTGAATCCCTACCCTTTTCCCTCTATCCTTACTCACCTGCAACTGAACCTCCTTCAAGCTTGGTATAAAGCACCCTTCATCCTGTTTCTTATCTTAACTCTTTCTATCACCTGTTCACACACTTCTCTCTTAAATGTCTTATAAGTGTTCAGGAACTCATTATACACAAAAACTCCATTGACACATACACTATCTGGTATCTGCAAACACTTAAAAATGTCACTAAATATCACACAAATAATAATAATAATAATAATAATAATAATAATAATAATAATAATAATAATAATAATAATAATAATAATAATAATAATAATAATAATAATAATAATAATAATAATAATAATAAAAAAAAAATGCTTTGTTTAAGATTTTTAGGGACATTCATTTGCATTCAGACTGACTAGGACTGCAACCCTGAATTAATCATTTAATTACTTGTTTGGGACAGTTCCAAAAGGAGCTGAAAATTATAATTTGAAAATAAATTATGACCAGATTAGACCTCATAATAATCAAAGTCACTCTCCTTCTCCTTTAATCCCCTCTCCCCAAACCTTTCTCTCTCTTCCATCGTCCTCACCAGAAACAGAGCGACGGCTGATCCCAGTATAAATCCGGCACCACGTCCGAACAGTGGTTCCGGTACTCTGAGACTCGGTTGAGGGCCGGTGAGGAAGGCCGAACAGAGCGTGCCCAGACAGACACAGGCTTGGCCAAGCGGCTGGACTTGGTCTTGATGGTGCTGGTGATGTACATCTGGAAAAAAGGACAGAGGGCCAGATTTAATCAGACTTTGAAAAACAAAAAAATGTATTTATTATGACCCAAAGGTTTAACTAGAGCTTCTGTATCAGAGAGAATCTCCTGTTGAGCACCTGGAGTTATTCCCACAGGAATATAATCAAATATTTTTACTATTTCATGAGAGCACAAAGCCTGCATTGCAAAGCAAAACGGTTTGGAAAAGATGTCAAAACCTTACGTCATGTGAGTGAAATACCTCTTCAAAACAAAAAGGTTTTTTTTACAAGGAATAACAGAGGAACCTTCTAACTGAGAGTGAGAGGTGTGAGAAGACTTTCAGCATTTAAAAACAGACACTTAGTATTCCTACATGTTCTCACTTCTTGAATTTTAACCTCCTCCCACGCCAGATCGTGGAGTTCAAATCTGTTTTAATCAACAACCTGTCCTTGCATTCCTCTTGCTCCCGCTGATCTGCACTTCTGCTTTCGCATTTCATTTTCAGCAGCTGAGCCCCCGTGTCACCCCTATTTTAAACACAAGCTTATAAAAAAAAGAAATCCTTTTTTTACCTAAAGCCAATTTTCAAAAAATGCCTGAAGGTTTTATAAACCATTCCTCCACCCTTGCACAATAAGTATGAAGTTCCTCCTTTCCTATTCGTTCATCAAACATGGATGCTATGTACCACATGTGTATACCAACTTATGCAAAGTAATGTATGAAACTTTAATCAGTCCTGTTCAAAACGTTGTATTTAGTTCCGATTGTTTGGATGTTGTGTTTACTGTTCCGAAATGTGTTCACACCTAGATGTTAAATAATTACATTCTGTCCCGAATGACTAACTGTGGAGCAACAAGTACACTTGACATTGATTTTTAATTAACTGTGCTCCTGTTTTGAAGAAGAAAAAAAGTGTTTACACTATTATGTGGGACTAATTGAAATTACTAGAACAACTGCAAACCAAAAAAAAACATTGGTGCTGAGGAAAACCTTTGTTTTTGTATTGTATACTTAATTACATGTATGTCCTATTAAAATCCTAATTTGATTTTAACTTTACTTTATATTTACTCAATATACTTAGAATTGGCCTTGAAACAGCATATTAAAAGATACAACATTTAGTTAATCATTTGAATAGCTCTTAATTTGCAAAGTTAACTTTATTATCCTCTGAAGCAGTGGTTTTCAAAGTGTGAGGTGCGCCTCCCCAGGGGGGGCGCCAGAGAGCTCAGGGGAGGCGCAGCATGAGAAGAAAATATGAGAAACAGTGAAATCTAGCTAGTTAACTTCAGCTAATTTTATGCGAGCGGCAACATGGATCGATTTTTTGGGAAGTTACCTAAAGTGAGAGAGGAGACAGCGTCTGGCAGAAAACGGAGGAAGTATGACCACGATTATTTGAAGCTAGGATTTTCATGGACCGGTCCTGGCAGGGACGGACTGGCCATCTGTGTGTTCTGGAGAATCACAGAACGGCCGGTCGTCAGCGGGCCGTTGGCGGCCGGCTCGGTTCGCTGACGGCCGGCACCGCCCCTTTATTTTAATTGTAATAATACGTACTTGGATCAAAAGCAAGTACCGGTCAAGGCTGCAGCCAGAGGATGATCTGCGTTTATTCCTGTCTGCATTGCATCCCCGCATCATCATCCGCCTGTGCGCACTGTTAAGGAATAATTATTCTAGATATCTAACCTTTTGCTCTATGACGTTTTATGATCTACTCTGACGTCTGTTATCTCCTTTAAGGAAAGGCATTGGTGCCATATGTGTTGTTGTTGTTACCAGTTTGTGACCGGTCAACTCTCGGGCACAAATGGTAATTGTTGTGAGAACGCTGAGGCACTTCCTTATCGGTGTTTGTGGACTCTAAGGTGTGAAATCTTTGAGGCCATAAGTGTCGGACGCAAGTGATTCAGTGTTCCCAGCTGTTTAGTCTACTTCCTCAGATATGTTGATTACTCTCTGTGAACCAGTTAAAAGGTCTAACATAGAGAGAGGCTCTTCAGAATTGACATGGCAACTCTAGAGTGAAGTCAGAACCTCTGACTCTTTGACTTGTTTTGTGAATTCTCCGGCCGAAGCTCCTAATAAACCCATCAGTGTTTGACATCAAAGCTCCAGCTCTATCCCATGTCTCCTTCCTGAGTCGGTGACTCCCACTGCATTGCTACACAGAAGTTTCCCCCACACGCATCAAAGACGCAGGCTCATTGTTCCCACTAAAGTAGGGGTGAGTGTAATAAGGAGGCAGAGTTGACGTTCAGTGTGTTGCCGGGAGCATATAAGGATGTATCCACGATGTTGAAAATGTTAAAAATTGTTTTTTTTAAAACGTTTAAAACATAAAGATAAAAAGGTTTAAAAAAGTTGTTGTTTAATGTTTTAAGGAGGTGATGCTACTCAGCCAATCAAATCGGTGCAGTCAGTGAGTCAGCACGATAGATTCAAGTCATTTCAAATGGCGTGCTCAAAAAAGAGAAAGGTAGACAGCGAAAACAGAGCATTTAATGACATGTTCTCTCACTGGACCTCTTTGAAATGCAATTGAATGCCCCTGCATTATAGCAACAACAACAATAATAATAATAATAATAATAATAGCAATAATATTTGGGAGGGGGGGTCGCGGCTGTTCTTATGTTCTCTGAGGGGAGGCTCACCTTCACACACTTTGAAAACCCCTGCTCTAAAGGAAAACTGTTCTCAACTTAAAACGTAATTAAAGTCAAATGGTCTTTCATGTATTTTGTATCTACTTGTGTCAAAGCAATATACAACAAATGTAAGAAAACATGTGAGTTCTTCTGATGTCTAAAAATGGAAGGAATATGGTGAGAAGACGACACCTTAGCATATGGTACACAATATACGATGGTACACGTTAAACTTCATTAAAGTGTCTACTGTGCCCTTTGTCTCACCGTCAGGTAAACAGCAGAGTAAACACTCAGCGAAGCGTCCTTGGATGGGAACGACCGGCGAGCGCTTTCCACAACAACGGGGTTCCCGGTGCAGATGTTGCCGTTGATGATGAACTGGTGATTAAAACGACACTCTGTGCCGGTGTAGTTGGGCTTGCAGACGGACAGGAAGTAGGGCGAGAGACCTCCCGTCACCACCTGGCCCGCGTTGACGAAGATGTCCGTGGCAAACAGACCGAATGCGAACACACCTGGGGCACAAAGACACACAATGAGGAATTATAGCCCATTAAAACCATTAAGGACATTAAGACATCACGGAAAAAACTTTAAAAGCTTTGGTGCTATCACCTTATATACCCGGGGTTAAATTGGCCTGTGACCATGTGGCTTCCAGCGCTGGCACTTAAGCTCCCAACTGTCATTAGGCAGAGTTAAACCCCAGAATATCTAATGTTAAAATTATTCCAAGAAAAACGGTGGAACTTCAAATGCAAATTGTATCGATTTTGCATTCATCATGAAATCTTGGTTCAAAGTTAATAGGGAAAGGAAAAAAAGAGTGGACAATAGGCAGAGAAAGAAACATAAAAATCGCCTCTTATATGAATGATTGCACTGACACTTTCAGCCCACCAACCCTGACCAATGTCTGCGTCTGCATTCCTTTTGCTGTGAAATATGACTGCTGATTATCTGGCCTGCTTAGCCATGAAATTACTCTGCTTTGTATTCTCATCTAGTGGGGGGGGGGGGGGGTTAGAGGGCTGAGGGTGCTAGTGGGGTACAGGGACACGATTGTGTGAAGGGCATCGTTGAGGGAAACGGAGAGGGGGAATTAGGGTGAGAGGAGAGAGATGGGAGGGAGGGAGGAGAGAAAAGCCCCAGTGATCCTACAAATTTGAGAGATTGTCCGGGAGCAGACGGCGGTATAAATCACGCGAATTGCCTAATGAATGTCTGATGAGTGTTTTATAAATTGAAGGGATATTATTTAAAAATGAACAATACGGATATGATTGCGCCAGGAAAGTCCAACCGCCGACCTCAATTACCGGAACAGGTAGCAACGAGTCTGTCAGTTTGCCCAGTGCAACACGAGCTGTGGGGCTGTCAAAATTCAGATTCAAAGTCTGAGCTGGATGTGAGCTCTTTTAGAAAAGTGATACAGGTGTGAAAGTTACAACTCTTACATGAGGTGTAAAGCAGCCCCATATATCGCCACTACAGTATATGATGCAACGTGTTTGATACAGATGTTTCAGAGGGGGATGTAGTTTGAGAACAAATCTACAGTACATGCATCACGGCTGGACTAGATCCCAATTGGCTCCCTTCACTGAAGAAATCTGTTAAGTCAGGCCAGTTTGCTGTCTTTAAACTCAAAAGCCTCAACCAGCAAGTTTATCCTGAGATCGGGTTTGAATCAAAGCAGATGGTGCGTTCCACCAATGAGGATCCAATTCAGCATAATTGGAAGGGCACCTGGACGCCAACATCGTCAATCTTGCAATGTGTATTCGCTCGTATATCGGATTCGCTCCAAAAAAAACTAATAGGTTCCCCATTGGCCAATGCTACACCATTTTACCAAGTTCATGGAGATTGGGCAGTTGCTTGTATGTATCCTTCTGATTACTGTAAACAACACCTTAAATATAATCTCCTTG